TTCTAAATTGTTAAAATCAAAGTACTCAAAAGTACAGAGAGCCGGGCTCATTTACCGAGTAGAATGGATTTCTTACATGAATCACGTTTATATTCTGATGAAAAAATTATTTTAAAACTATCAATATAAATGATAAGACACTGACAGTGAGTTTTTCAATCCTAATACCACGGTCCGATTTTGTCAGAATCAGAATTAATCTGGTACCGCAGCTGAATGTAAACAAACAGGCCAGTCTGGTTCCCTCTCCTGCTTTACCTCGTATGTGTAGAGAACTACGGTAACACTGATTATCAAAAATCCTTACGCTAATGAACTATTTTCTTTGACTTATGAAGTATTCAAAGTCATTACTACTAATGTTTATTTTATATTAGGGATGTCAAATCGGTCAATTTTTAATACTCGGTTACTCGGACGCTTTTCCGATCGAGTAACCGGGTACTCGGTAAAAGTGTAAATAAATATGAACAAGTAAACATTGTAAACTCTTGTAGAAATAAAACCACATGCTTTGATAGGAGGTTTACCCGTTGGTGTATTTCTGTTGTAAACTTGTAACAACGATGAGCACTTCGTGCCCGATGAAATTTAATATAACATCGTTTATGTTCAATTTATTCATCAGATAAACACAAGAAGTAAAATCATAAGTAGATCACAGATTTTTGGTTTTAAAATTAATCTGCTCCGTACATTGTAATGTAACTCTTTGTTGCGTTTGACGTCCAGGTATCATTCGTACAGTTTAACTTGAACTTGATCAAGTTCGCCTAACAGAGCGGATTTACGGTTTTAATACACTTTTCGAACATAGATTTTCTAGTATTGTGGGACGGTATTTTGTAGTTTGGTGCAATGATGGACATGAGTTTTTTTTTAAGCCTTTGGTTCAACCATTTGTATTGGCACGTAATCAAACACAACCTTATCAACAATCGCGCGGGCAATTTCATCTGTCTCTTTTCCCTGAGAATTTTTATAAGACTTCTCGCAGAATTAACAAATTGTCAAATTTATTAAATCATAATAGACCTTATCAGATGTTCAGTGAAAACAAATAATTGAAGTTAATCAAAAATAAGGGTAGAAGACAGCCGAAGGTGAGAAAAGCCAGGTAACAGGTGCTTGGTCACGATAATTACTGTATAAACACTGCCACGGGCGATAACGGTCCTTTAGAGGAGTAGGAAACCCTAATTACTGTATGTACAAGTGCAATGAGTATTTTACGTTTTAAAACAGATTGTTTAATGCATTAATAAATAAGCTAAGAAATATTCAAAAATATACATCCGAGTAACCGAGTACTGATTTTAGTATTCGATAATCGGACGTTCGATCGAGTACCCGGTTAACCGGGTACTCGTTGACATCCCTATTTTATATAGATAAAACTTCGTTTTATTTTTGTTGCTTTATTTAGCGTTTGTATTATCTCAAAAGCGGTTGAGAGTAAGAACTATATTTTTGCACGTAACTTTAAAATGGCGACTATGGGGTCAACATCCTGCCTTGAACAGGATCACATAAGCAGGTGTAACGTTGAATTTTGACCCGAGTTGAAAATTGACCCGGGGGTCATTTTTCAACGTTGAATAGTGAGACCAAAGGTGTTGAATTTCGACCCTTGTCCGTTGAAAACTGAGCCGGGTCGTGGAATATTGATTTTGAAACCGGTTCAAAATTCAACAGCATAAAAGCACATATTTATGACTTGGTTTTCACAACTGTGATTTAATCCATAGGCGTCGGGAACGGGGGAGGGAGGCTAGGGATGCTTACCCTTTTTTTGCAAATATAGACATAATATAGGCATTGAACAATGTGAATTTATTGGTTTAGTCCCCCCTGCTTTCAACAGGCACCTTACAGTGTAGTCAAAAGAAAGAAGAGTAAGTGGTAGTGCTTTAAAAAAAAGAAATTGGATCCTAAACCCCCCCCCCCCCCCCAATAGGATTTTCGGGTTTGGACAATGAACAATTTTTTTCTTGTCAATTTTTTTCAGATTTGAATTTTTCTTTCTTTTTCAATTAGCCCCCTCCCCCGCGCAACTTCAATTCAACACCAATGTAATCAATGCACACTTAATCCAGTAATTCAGTTATATTCTTAGAATAAAATATTTTATAAAATATCTTAGATTTCACAGTTACATGTAGCTTAAAATCGCAATATTTCGTGTATTTTTTTTTTTAAAAGAAGTAAATTTGTATATGTAAATCCTAAATATTAGTAAACATAGTTATACAATATACAATTTAGTCCATAAATTTGTTTATTTATATTTTTTTTTTTGGCTAACAACACTTCATTTATTTCAATTTTAAAATTCCTAATATAAGTAGTTGGTAAATGATGTGAATTTAACGCATGATGCACGATACGTTTTAATGCTTATTTAGTTATGCATAACATTAATAACTTATAATGCCTAACTTGAAAATGGATTTTTTTTTCAAATTAAAAGGTTTAGGGCCTAGTGATCTTTTTCGCATAGTTAATAAAAGAGTTCAAGAACGAACCTCACAATTAATACATATTCATTTTAAGTAGAGGATGTAAAAGGGGGGTGATCTCCCCTTTTTGGGATTAATACCATATATATTTGAAGAATGTTTTGTTTTTGTTTTTTGTATTTGTGACTGGGCTGTTTTCTTCATTTTTGTAGTTTTTTAAATCAAAAAATGCTTGCATTAGATACACAACCCTGACTTTCAGCGTTATTTAATTTTTGTAATAAAGTAGCCAAAATATAACATTGAACCCCTCTCCCCACAAAACGGGGAAACACGGGATAGTTTGTGAGGAATTTTTGAAGCAGCCCTTCCATCCAATTAGAGAAACATGGTTTGGTTTTCAACATTGGCTAGTTTCCCTTTCCACTTTTTGTTTGCTTGTTTGTTTATTGCCTTTCGTTTATTTATTTTTTTGTTTATGTTTTTTGTCTCAATATTTCAGAGGGTTTTGACACCATACCCCCGCCTTCGAGAAAAACTTTAGGATCCTCTCTTTCTCTCTCTCTCTCTGTTTCTTTGAAGAGGAATGCAATTTTTAGTTGTTGAGGTCAAAAGAAGTTGCAGGGACGGCGTTTTTTCAATTGTTGATATCAAAGATGGTGGGAAGTGCAGCTTCTAATCCATCCCAGACTCTAACTCTAGTACTCATTCTCAAAGTTATGCTCCGAAAACGATCGTTTTTAACAGATAAGTTTGTTACAGGGATTTCACCAATCTTGTTTAAAGTCAGCACTACTTACATGTTATGGTCGCTATATTGATCTTTTCACAAATATAACCTATCATTGGATTTATTTTGACTGATGTGTTTCATTCTATTTTTTAGGCTTTTAATTTTATTAAATTTTTATACTGAATTTGACTAGATGGGATGTTCTGCCCACCTGATCAATATAATATTATATAGGGCTCACTTTCTAGACACTAGATTTCCAAGATTTTTGTTTTATGCCCTATTCATAGTTTTGTTGTTATTTATGGATGTGGATTTTAGAAAGTATTGTAAAAAAAAAAAATCATGCTTGAAGATAACTGAAATTGTGTACTGATCAAAATGTACATATATACACGGGATGATAGGTTTATTTCTATAATTCTTGAAAAGGGAAAATAATTGAAACCGAAATATAAAAAATATAGAGATACTGATAAATCCCAGTTCAAAAAATGTTCAAACTCTGAGGTGGGGTCAATTTTCAACAGGGTCTATTTTCAACTTATTGTGGTCATCGGGGATAAGAAAAAAAAATATCAAGCTGTTGAAAAATGACCCCGGGTATAAATTCAACGACTTTTGGTCTCAATCTTCAACGGAGAAAAAACACCCCTGGTTCAATATTCAACGTTGAAAAATGACCCCCGGGTCAATTTTCAACTGGGGTCAAATTTCAACGTTACACCGACAATTGCTCTTTGAGCAATAAGCCCGGCTAAAATCATTACCCCGGGGGTTGGGCGGGGCCACAATAGGGAATCAAACTTCTCCATAGACATATACAGGAAAAAACTTTAAAAATCTTCTTCTCAAGAACCACTAGGCCAAAAAAGCTGAAACCTATGTAAAAGCATTCTTGGGTAGTGAAGATTCTAAATTCTTAAAATCATGACCCCCCCCCCCCCCGCCGTCTCAAGAACCACTTGGCCAGAAAAGCTGAAACTTATGTGGAAGCATCCTGGTATAGTGTACATTCTAAATTGTTAAAATTGTAACATGGGGGGGTTATGACGAGGCCACAATTGTTATTACAAGGGAGGAAATCTGGATAAGAACGGGATCCCCAAAGTTTCTCAGGTAAGCAATGTGGCCCATGGGCTTCTTGTTTGTTAATTAATACCCCAACCAAAAGTGGGGTAGGGAGGGAATTTCGATAGACACTTTCTATACTTTTAACAGGTCTGACAGGGGGAATTGCAGTGAAAAATATTGTTGACTTCTTTCATGTACAGCAACATTGCGACTCCCCTATGGGTGTATCTGCATGTCGGTGTTCCTGGGGTCACATTGCCGCATCCGATCACAGGTTCAACAACTAGAGAAATCATTTGGAGGGGATTATCAAAAGATATTTAATTATCAGCAATCCAGCGCCGTTTTGCGTGAAGACCTTTGCTAGGCGACCTTGCAAAATTCCTATGAACGTAAGACCCCCCCCCCCCCCCCCCCACTATGATCATGCCGATATATAGAACACTTAGAAAACATATCTACCATGTACTTCTGCTCCCTCAATAATGTCTGATGACTCTTTTCGCTTGTCAAGAATTGTGCTAAATAGGCCTAAACTGAAAATATTTTGCCCCACCCCCACCACACGCACTGAAATTAATTTCTACGGGCCTTGGCCTCGAATATTTGGCTCTGACGTCATAGAACACAATTTTATCCTTTTATTTCAGTAATTATTTACTGTTTATACATGTGGTACTACTACTAAAAATGTCAGCTAATTCGCTCGTCGTTATATTATAAATTTTAAAATGTTCTTGCTTATTCATACGTATTTGAATTTTTATTCTGTCTATATCTGTGATGTACACCAAACATTAACATCGGATAAAATCTTTGGAGAATTTCTTAGATATGCATATACACAAAAAAAAATTAACGGAATATTGTTTGCGTTATAAATGTTTAAAAGCATCTTCAAATGATCAACTCACTACCAATGTCAACAAATACCATGTCTTCAGTCTTGCCAAAGAAATTTTTCATCATTTGTTAGAGCGTGTAAGTGGCGCATGAAAGGAGCATAAAAACTGTCCAACAAACGCTTTGTTTCTAACATCATATTACCAGATTTTTTCTTTCTCTTTGTTTTGTACACTTTTTCTGCGTCAGATATTTCATTCAGTTTCTGTTCTGGTAGTTCGTCTAAAATATAAAAGATAATTTTTACATATAAGTCTGACAAAATGATGCTTATGTCTGAACATGATGATTTGACTAATACATGTGTATTTACGACTTTTTAAGATAAGCTTACCAACTCCAAGGAATGAGAAGACTGTTTTCAGAGTGCCTTTAATGTTCCTGGAATAATCCTCTGTTCTTAGAAACAAAAAGTTAATAGAGTCAAACACCTTTAACCATTCCTCGAGGAACACGGAATAGATCCCCACATGTAAACGGACCTTTAAATGAACAGATACATGGATATTTATACACTGTATGTGGCTAACTTATTCCAACACCAAGAATCAGTGGAGTTGTAAACATACCGGCATTTTAAGATGGAGTTCTCTGTTAAACAAGCATACTCGCAAAGTGTGTTTTTTACGGCAATTGTTAAACATGGTAATGGATTTCACAACTTTCCCATGAAAAGCTTGGGGGGTAGGTTCTCCAAGCTTCAGAAAAATGTAATCAGAAAATAACCTGAAAGTCGAGTAGTCTGTAACCAATATCTATCGATATAAAGTTTTTATTTAACCTAGACCAATAGTTAAATTAAAAGGAACTGTAATGCTTCAGCGGCTAATTTTACCTTTCGGATGGCTGTCTAAATATCAAAATAAACTTAAGATAGGGATTGAAGTATTTCATCAAATGAGGAGTTAGTATTTTAGGATCTTGAAGACCGACATTTTGTGGAATTTGTGGCCATCCGGAAAAATCCCAGAAATCCATGGGTGTGCCATCACCTGTACAAAAAGTTATTCCAATGAGCATGCGTCGTCGGTTGTAGCAAGATCTCACATTAAAGGTACTTGGACACAGATTTGAAGTTAATTTTTTCTGTATAATACTACGAATTATATATTTTAATACCATTTCACACAAAAATTAATTAAAAATCTTATTTCATTAAAAAGATATTAAAACTTTAAATTTTTTGGTGGGTTTGATTGACACATCCTTGCACTTTCACAAATTTTAACTTTATTCTTTATCCTTAGGAAAAATGGCAATCTTGTGTATTATTGGGAAATATTAAAACTTAAATCCAGAAAAATAATTTTATTCAGAGTAGAAATGTTAGAAAGCAAAACTCCTTCACAAGTATCGTCATTCCGTTGTGTACAGAGTTTAGCAAATCGAACACACTCGTGTTATGTACACAGTTTTTGTAGACAAGGCAAGAGCGTGTTATTGTTTGGTGTTTACGATTCACCGGGTGCGTTTAATTGCCAAAGTCTGCTCACCACAACTGAACGGACTGACAATACATTGTGTGTTTGTTTTGCTTTCGAACATGTCTTCTCTTAATTTTCTGGATTATAGTATTAATATTTTTCATTAATACACAACAAAATTGCCATTTTTCCTAAGGATTAAGAATAAAGTTAAAATGTGTGAAAAGGCAAGGACGTGTCAATCAAACCCGCCAAAAAAATAAAAATTTTAATAACTTATAAATGAAATAAGATTTTTAATTAATTTTTGTGTGAAATGCTATTAAAACATATAACTTCAAATCTGTGTCCAAGTACCTTTAAGGTACATCTATTCTATACGCCCATGGGCCACATCGTTCACCTGAGTAACTTTGGCCATTCTGTTACTTAACAGAATTTCCCCTTTGTAATGCCTATTTTGACCGTGGCCAATCCCAAAGGGTCATGATTCAAACAATTTAGATTCTACACTACCATAGGATGCTTCCACATAAGTTTCAGCTTTTCTGGCCCAGGGGTTAATTGAGAAGATTTTTAAAGTTTTTTCTTGTATACTTCTATGTAAAATTTGGATTCCCTATTGTGGCCCCGCCCTACCTCCGGGGGTCATGATTTTAACAATTAAGATTCTACACTACTAGGGCTGTGTATTAAGCAGAAATATTCGATACAATACTTTATAATGCGATATCCGATATATTGGATTCTTTAACAAGTCTATGAAAAAGTCCTAAAAAATTCTTAATGTATGCATTTTATAGAAATTAATTGTTTGAATTCCCATTTCGAAGTTCTTGTCTCACTGTCTTAACAAATTACACTTCAAAATCAAACTTTGAAGGACTGAAAAGAACATGTGAAAAGTTTTGCAATATTTATCTAATCTCTTTAAATATTACAGCAAAACTCGTTTAGTACGAACACGGATATTGTGAATTTACGGATATAGCGAAGTCATTTAGGATCCCCAGCTATGTAAATTTAATGAGTTTCTAATACGGTTATAACGAATTACAGATATAGCGAAGTAATTTCATAGGTCCCAGTGACTTCGCTATTACCGAGTTTTGCTGTATATCATTATTGATCAATTCTAATTCAAAACAGTGAAAAATATAACCTTTGGTGATTGAAATTTCAAACTTCTTATCAGAATTACAAGATATTCTGCCTGTCGGAGACGTACTGGAAGTTATTTTTTCGATATGATTCCTTCTTTAATATCGATACGTATTGTATATTCGATATACATGTATTGATACAGCCCTATACACTAACCCAGGATAATTCCATATAAGTTTCAGCTTTTCTGGCCCAGTGGTTCTTGAGAAGAAGTTTTAAAACGTTTTCTTCCTTTATACTTCAATGTAAACTTGGATTCCCTATTGTGGCCCCGTCATACCCCCCGGGGGTCATGATTTTAACAATTTAGAATCTACACTACCCCAGGATGCTTCCACATAAGCTTCAGCTTTTCTGGCCCAGTGGTTCTTGAGAAGAAGATTTTTTAATGACCCCGCCCTATTTTTGTATTTTCTTGATTATCTCCCATTGGAATGGTTACCCTAGGATGCTTTGTATCAAGTTTGATTAAAATTGGCCCAGTGGTTCTTGAGAAGAATTTGAAAATGTGAAAAGTTTTCAGATGGACGGACAGACGGACGATCAGTAAAGCTCATTTGAGTTTTCAGCTCAGGTGATCTATTGACATAAATGTCTATTATCTTTTTGTTCAATTTTGCCGAGCAAGCTATGCTATAATTTTTGTGTTTTACTTATAAAATACATTTCTTTATTATTCAGGTTAAAGCAACATTTTATATGAGTGAGCAGAGGGCTTAAGAACCTTAATCAATTCACTGAATTTATGCTGTTGGATATCTTACCTGTGATTAATTCATAATCATTATCAACATTTCCAATCTTTGAAGCGGCAGATTCAAAATAAGCAAGGTAGTCTTTAAAAGTTTCCTTCTTTGGCAGATTCCGAAGCAACCAATGACCTTTGCAAAACACCAGACGTAAAGCAGGAGTCTAATTTTAGTTAGCTTACAGGGATTCAAATGCATATACATACATATTGTACCACTTACAAAGGATTTTTTCTGGCAATTCAGATACCTTCTTTAAGGGACATAGACACAGATTTGAAATTAATATTTACTCAAATTTTCTGTACAATATCATAAGGATAAAGTTCGCTTAGTGAAATAGCAAGGATGTGTCAATCAAACTCGTCCCGAATCTCTTAGCTTCCATAATTTCCAGATAAAATAAGTTTTTTTAAAGATTATATTTCTGTGTGAAATGTTATAACAACCTATGAGTCATGATATTATACAGAAAAATCGAGAAAATATAAACTTCAAATATGCACCTTTTATGACATCAATTATATCACAATCACTGAAGTGTATATATATTATAAATAGAGAATAATACATACCCTTTTCCATATCACATCCTGTATCAGGACACCAAGACACCAATATCAGACAGAGCGCCGAAGGCCTGAGGGCTGATATTGGTTGAGGGCTGATATAGGATGTGATGTGGAAAAGGGTATGTATTATTATGTTTATTACATACTTAGTAATAAAATACAGCACACATTAAGTTGAGAAGAAAATAAAGTAAACTAGAGGTACTGTGAGCAATGAGCTCACTAAATGATACCCCCGCCTCCCATATAGTTATAATGGCAAAGTCCATGTTTTGCTGTGGCCGGGAAACCCAAAATATGTGTCGGAACAAAAAGTAAAATAGGTGGTGTACAATGGCAATATGTAATAAACATTTTATGAAAGTTTCATTAAATTTCACTCAGTGGTATAAGAGGAGTTGCGGATAAGAGATGGGTACCCCATAGCGTAACAGACAGACGGACGGACGGGCATACCAATTACAGTATACCCTCCCACTTTTTAAGCGGGGGGTATAATAACCATGCATGGACTTCTTACATGTACACGTTCTATTATCTCATACATTTTGGGTTTACCTCTACATGCACTTGTATTTTAAATGTGACCGATTGGTAATTCAAAATAATCTATTATTTGTCAATTAGATTATCCTTACATTAAAAAGGTTAAAATTAAGAGAATATGTAACCCCCCAAATATGTGTATGATCACAAATACTGTTTTTTTTTAAGGTTTAACTTTCTAGGGGTGTGATATTGATCCGTATCAGCCCCGCAAGTCCATATCAGCCTTGCAGGGCTGATACGGCTATTGTGACTTCAGGTATATCGCATATGAAAAAAATCCTGTATTTATTACTGAGTATGTAATACATGTATATGTATATGCGAGTAAATATACTATAAACACACACCAAAAACGCAAACATTAGAAGCTATTGCAATGCAGAATGAAACTTCTAGGTTTTGAACACAGGTACTTGTGGACAGGAACCCCCCCCCCCCCCCCACTATACACCCCTGGTCAAAATATTTCTTTTTCTTTTTTGTCATGAATTATGTTTCTAGTACTTATTTACAACGTATTCCATATGAAAAATCCAAAAAATAACATAGATTTAACGATTTACTAAAAAAGTCATACCCTGGTATTATAAAATAGAGAAGGTAAGTCACTTCGGGTTGTTAATTCGGACCCCTCTTGATTATCGGGCCTAAAATATCATATACCTACTACATGTCACCAAAATGTGTCATGATATCTTGTTTCGGTAGAGATTTTTGTCGTTAATCGTGCCATTTAATTGCCCAGACATTCCCCAGTTATCCGAGTATTCAGCGTCAAACGTGAAAAATTTGGAAATGTCAAAGCAGAAATTACGGAAGTGATCCAAAAACGACACCTAGCGGGTAACTTTCGAGTTCCGAGTGTCATAGAATGAAGGGAAAAGCCAGAGGACTACGAAAAAGTTCGGGAAAATTTTGATTAAAGTCGAAATCGATTCATTAGAATTTAAATTTTGCTGCAGATTTTCGAGATGAATTAGGATCGTCTTCATTATTCTTTTCAGAGGATTTATCACTGATACCATATAGCGTATTAAAAATCGCATATAGACATTAAGATACATGTAACCCCCACCCCCATCCCCACCCCAATCTACAATAATCCGATATCATGAAATTAATTACCTTATACAATGATTCTCACTTGCCAAAGAATTAAAAGCATTTATGAATCGTTTTCTTAAAAATAAATGAAAATCGGAACTTTTCATTATCACATTCTCTCGTTTATTGTCCTAACTACAGCCTCGGAGTTTGTTTCTGGTCTTGACTGTGTACGTATATCTTGCTGCTTTGTTAAAGAAGCTTAACTTCTTTTTATTTATCTAACATGGCCGTAGGAATAATATTAGCATATTATATAAAATGCTGTAGAGGTACTATATGCTCGTGCCCCTCAATAAAAACCAGTGACATTTTTTTGCTTGCTGGGGAATTTTTAGTTGATAGCATAGTGCCCTAACTAAAAATGTTTGGCTGTTCCCCATCCCCCAGTCTGAAATTGCTTCCTACGAGCCTGTCTAGGTATAATTTAGAGACTTTTTAAAACTTCTTTCGGTATGTCTTATCTAACAGCCATCGTTTAATATTGTCACTTGTAGTACATGTACTCAGGGATGTAGCAATAGGGGGGCCAGGTGGGCTGCCCCCCCCCCACTTTTTTCCCAACTATACCTTTAATATTGAACATGTCCCTTGGAAGGTTGGTTGCCCCCCCCCCCCCACTTCTTACCACAGTATAGTGATATGAAGAAAATGTGGTATTGTATGCAAAAAAATTGGAAGTAAAAGGGAGTTGACCTTGGAAAACTTTTACAGGCAAGTAAAAAATATTTTTCTCTGGTTGCCCCCCCCCCCCACTTTCAAAAAACGATGCTACGTGCCTGCATGTTCTAGATTTTGACTACTGAATATTGGTTGGGATGTATTTGTACAACCATTCATAAAAACTTGCATTTTTTCTCTCAAAACGCCTTTCTCTACATTTGTAGTTTAATCAAAATAATTCTAACCTGTAATGACGTGCACACACTCCTTCCCATAAATTAAATAATATAGCGAGTTCAGAACTCACAGCAAATGGAATAATGGTTTTTGTGCTGTTTTGAATAAGCACATTTCAGGTTGTATTTATCTATTTAAACTAACGCATTAACAGAAATCCACCTTTACGCAGACACAGTCACTATAAAATAAAAATTGAGTTTGCCTAAACATATCCACGTAGAAAAGGGGGGTTACATGTCATTTAATGTCTCTATGCGATTTTTAAAACACTATATTGTATCAGCAACAAATCCTCTAAAAAGAATATTGAAGACGATCCTAATTCATCTCGAAAATCTGCAGCAAAATTTAAATTCTAATGAATCGATTTCGACTTTTATCAAAATTTTCCCGAACTTTTTCGTAGTCCTCTGGCTTTTCCCTTCATTCTATGACACTCGGAACTCGAAAGTTACCCGCTAGGTGTCGTTTTTGGATCACTTCCGTAATTTCTGCTTTGACATTTCCAAATTTTTTACGTTTGACGCTGAATACTCGGATAACTGGGGAATGTCTGGGCAATTAAATGGCACGATTAACGACAAAAATCTCTACCGAAACAAGATATCATGACACATTTTGGTGACATGTAGTAGGTATATGATATTTTAGGCCCGATAATCAAGAGGGGTCCGAATTAACAACCCGAAGTGACTTACCTTCTCTATTTTATAATACCAGGGTATGACTTTTTTAGTAAATCGTTAAATCTATGTTATTTTTTGGATTTTTCATATGGAATACTTTGTAAATAAGTACTAGAAACATAATTCATGACAGAAAAAAAGAAAAAAAAATTATTTTGACCAGGGGTGTATAGTGGGGGGGGGGTCCTGTCCACAAGTACCTGTGGGTTTTGAAGTTAAGGTAGGTAACTTGAAATGTAGATAAGGATAATTATGGTGTTTGATCCTGACATTTGCCTTATATTGTTACTACTGTTTGAAGTGAAAGATGACCTGTTACTCTGTAGTAGTCATGTTGAGATTTTTCCAGCCTTTCAGACAGTCCATCAAAATAATGCAAGTAATCAAGAAACGTTTCCTTTTGGTGTGTGTCTTTTCTAAGAGTGTGTCCTTTCAATAACAGAAGACAAATATAATATACATGTAATTATTACTTCTTTATTTTGTCAATTTGTGTCCATCCCATAAAATCCCAGAAACCCATGAGTATAATCAATGAATGATTATGTTAATGCATTGTTATAATTAAGTAAGTTAGTAAGTAATTTATTTATTTATAGTGATATGTGTACAAAAATTTGTGTTTCAAATTAATAAAAATACTGAAAATATTCATAAAATTTTTCTAATCACTGCTAAGGGGTGAATCTGAAATGTTGAGGATAATAATTTTATTTTTGTAATGACTTTATAGACACCTTGTACAATTACCATAATATCTAATATTAAAAAAAATTAAACAAGGTTCCTACCATATCGTCGCCATGACCACCACATAGTTTCTTTGTTCAGTATCCCTTTGTTTGGAAGAATCTGTGGATGGTGGACTAGGCGGTAGTATAAATCTGTGGAACCACATTTGTCTACTCCCAGAACATGGAAATAAGGCAGACATCGTAGCTTCCTGGTTGTGCCATTACCGCTCTGGTAACAAGCGTCGTAGAAACAAGGATTCTTAAACTGTTGTTCGAAGTCGGGTGGCGTCTAAAATTGAAGTTAAGAGTGAAGCAGGCTATTAAAGGGAAAATGAAACTTATTTGAAATAATTCCCCACAAGAAATGCTAAAATGGCATTTTTATATTAACTCGATTTCTTTTGAAACTCAGGTTTGTTTAAGCAAACATTTAAATCACTGAACAGAGGAATTCTGAACATGTCTCTAACTTAATTTTTCTCTCTGGGCATTGAAATTCAGACATAAGAAGAAAAGAGACCAGACACTCATTTTTATCATTTATATTGGTGTATGTGTAGCAATATTTATATAAAAATAAATCATACATGATAACAAACACCTACTAAAGCAAACACGTCCTCTACTAAGCTGCTATTAATGAGCGCTTGAGATTCGAAGACAGAGGAGCACCATTCTGGTTTAGTTTCTCGTAGTTTGGGTACTCCTGCCCGAGAAAAGTGAAGAGAGTGCTTAAACTGAGTCATATGGTATCCAGTCATCAGGGCAGTCAGGACTGCTAGCAGGAGAAGACTTGACAAGTAATTTAACAGACGTCTGAATGAGTTAGAGTCCATGCTATAGGAAAAAAAAAAACTGTTATAAAGAATGCCAATGTAACGGAACCGTCTTTATATAAATAACCTTAACAAGGGTCTTCTTCTAATGGTCAAGATTTTGGTTAAATTCTGCTTCATTATGAATGCAAAAATAGGTCTGCTAATAAAGGAGTGCAATAAGTTCCCATGGGAATTCCGACAGATTGTTGGAAGACCTGATCTCCAAAATTTTTATAGATATTTTAAGGTAGAATCTTCTCTGGTTTCTGACTAGATGAAATATGCAATGTATATTTGATTCTCCAAATTATTGTAGAACATTGAATTTAGTCATAATTTTTACACAATCAAAGACTTGAAGGATTTTTCAAATGATAGTTATATCGATAATAAGGGATAAGTTTTAAAATATATCAAATAAATATGATTTTTTTAAACAAACTACAATTACATTCATAGGGGTCTTCATTAGGCCACAGGGAGTTGTTATATAAAATTTCATTGCAATAGCTCAAATGGTTCTAGAGATAATCCATGAACAGATATGATCCACAGAAAGTGTTTTTACTCTCTTAGTAAACGATCAAATCTTTTTGTTTTTGTTTCATTTTGTATATCTATGTGGCTTCTTTAACATATGTGAAAATTAGAAAATTTTAAATATAGGACGCATATAAAAATAACATACATCTTAAAAAATTAAGAAAAATAGAGAAAATTCGGATTAGCCAAAATCTATATTTGTTAAACTATTTGTGTCAATTTAGTAATATCATCTTAAAGATCCTATATGGTAACATCTTTTTGATCAAAAAGAAAAAAAATCTTTAGAAATAGAGGACCGTATTGCATAATTGTATGCAGTGTTTTTTCATTCTTAATGACCATGGAAAAGGTAATGACCTTGACATGACCTTGCCTCTAATATTAGTATTATTAAAATGTTGATGTATCACCCCTACTAATGTGTTCGGAACCTTTTATTTTTCGGTGTTCTGCACATTATAAAACCAGATGAGTTCAAAATAGCTCTGGCGGTGGCTCTTGCGAGAGTTAGCGAGACTGCAGGTGTCATAACAGTATTACACTTTGGTTCACGTCAAATCATGGCTGACGCAAAATAATCCCGGAATCTTCCCTTCCGATTCGGGCATTTTGATACGAGACTGGAGCTGAATTTTTTTTTATGAGATGAAAAACAACATGTAAACTTCCTGTATTGACCAGATTTATTAAAATTTAGGGCGTGCTGATTTTTCTGTATACTGTCAAGAGTGGGGAGTGATTGGGCCTGTACTAGATTTTCAAGCACCTGGCGTGCTCGACTTCGACCGAAACAAACTTGCATGCCTTGCTGGATGGCTATGTATTTTTTGGTACTAAAATCTTTATAAAGAATGGTTTTACAAGATCTGAAAAGGAAACTTCTCAGAAGTTTGTTTTGAATTAGTTACATCTACTCAAACTTGCGCATTTTTGGTAAGAATATATAGCAGAAATTAATACTGTTGTGACACCTGCAGCGAGATAGGGTGTATTATTCACGGAAATTTGGCTAGGAAGTGACTTGCAAGTGGAGACATGGTAAACAGAAAATTTATGTTGCTTTTCAGTTTTCACCACCCTATAATACTTGTAGAAATGTACTTCAATCGATCTCTCTTGAATTCATTCAAAATTAAAAAGGATTTTCTATGATACAATTTCTGCAGTCATGAATTAAAATTTCTTTTAGAACAAATATTCTTGCATGGGAACAGGGATTATATTTTTTTGGCGTCAGATTAGCAAATGAGGCACCAACATGACTTAACTGACAAATCAGCTGAATGAGAATTGCATTAGGTATGGGCTACTACGAATACTACAGGAATTTTACGCTTGAAAGAAAAGGAAAATATTATGGCGATCGAAAAGTCACAAAGACCATTTTTCAATCCATTTGTAAACGAAAAGCATTTTTTCAAATTGTATTATTTACATGCTCACAATGATAAACAATTCATTCGTTAAATAAACGGTGGAAGTCTATAGGTTTCTTAAAGTCATGCTGCAATTGAAAGCGATTTGCGTCTCTATTAATTCTTTTGTTGTACTATCGGTGAATACAATTGTCAGGCGAATTCCCTGGCCAAAACACGTGACCACGAGTATAGTTATGTAAAAACTGTTATGTCCATTTAAATGCATAAAAGATGCTGCTCGTTTTCCTTACCCTAGTTGAAGCATTGGTGTTCTGAACTTGACACAAAGTACATTTTAGTAAACATGTTTTTGTTTAATTAACAAAAGATTAAAAACGCCTGACATCTTTCATACTTTCTAATCTTTGTGTTTTATTCATAAGAACTTTTTTTTTTAATTTTGCACTCCATTGACATGATCATAGATTTACCTGAACCACGTGTTCGAGGTAAAATGTAAACAAGTATTTGGCGTAAACGTTGCTATTCAACGATTGGTCAGTTGCTCGTGGTGAGATCCTCTGTTCGTATTAATAACAAAAGTCATATAAGGCAAACAAAGGTTTGTCAGTGTAGATGATATTACACATTTTTACCAGCGTATCGGTCGCAAGTGCATGTGCTCTAATTTTCGCCATAAATCATGATAAGATATATTGTTATTTTACACACACCCCCCCCCCCTTTAGCCACCATTTTCTGTTGAAAATCTTGAGTCTTTCAGAAAGGTCCGGAAACACATTTTTCCAAGGAAACAGACGGTATTCAAACAGACTATACCAATTTCCTGTTTACTGCCAATTTTATTTATAAAACCGGTTCCATCCTATAACCTTTGAATGGGTCAACCTAAACCACGTGTCTTGAATTTAAATCACAATAACATTAGTAGGGGTGCACAAGTTCTGTTATTGTTGATGTTTACAATTCACCGGGTGCGTTCAATAGTCACAGTCTGCTTACCACAACTGCACGGACTGACAATATATTGTGTGTTTGTTTTGCTTTCGAACATGTCTACTCTGAATTTTCTGGATATTAATATTAATATTAATCTGGATATTAATATTAGTATTAATATTTTTCAATTATACACAACGAGATTTTTCCTAAGGATTGAATAAAATTAATTTGTGAAAGTGCAAGGATGTGTCAATCAAACCCGCCAAAAAATTTGAAATTTTAATATCTTTTAAATGAAATAAGATTTTTAATTAATTTTTATGTGAAATGCTATTAAAATATATAAGTCGTATTATAGAGAAAATAATAACTTCAAATCTGTGTCCAAGTACCTTTAAAGCTACAGAAATATACTTTACCTCCAAAACCAAGTGTTTGGCGTTCTCATGGTCATTTCACAAGTTGGACCGCTCTGATAACAAGCTGTTGTCTGCTTCTGATAACATACACCTTAGAAATAAAATTGAACAATACAACTGCAAACAGGTGGTTATAAGTCCACCATTCTAGGTTCCAATCACATTATCGTCTTATCTTATTATTCCAACTCTTCATATTTTTTGTCCGACGCAACTATGACAACTTTATGTAAAGATAAGGTGGTAAACTAAGGAATCATTCTGTTAAATTGGTATTTAGCATATTTGATAAAATAATGATAAAGAGAGGAATACATTGTGACATTAACCTTTGATTCTATTTTCAGATAAACAAGCAAATTCAAAGAATTGTGGTCCCCCGCTTTCGTTCTTTTGGTGGATGAGATGCATTATTTATGGCCTATTGTGTCAAATATGAATGTCGTATCATGTGTCATTCAATGGTATTAAGGTAAGTCACTCGTCAGCTTTTTAGAAAAGTTCACGCAGAAGCTTTTACTTCAAAACTACTTATTAAAATTCAATTTTTATAACATATTTGAATTCAACAATGTAAATTTTTTAACATTCAATGAAAAAACTGCTAAAAAATCTACAAAGAAGCAAGATCTATGAGGGACTATTTCTTTTGGTGGAAGGATATTTAGCAGAAAATTCTGCAAATCTGCACATTTATAAAATTTAATGTAATGGAAATTTAGCCTCACATACTTTTACTCGGAGAATATTTTCCGTTTTTAAATATTTAATATAGGTCTTAATCTATATTTTTAGACTAAGTTTTATACCTTCCCTCAACAAACTTTTCCAAAAAATAAAAATATATTAAAGAAGTCAAGGTCAAATTTACACCATTTTTTGCCTGAAAATCACATATTTTGACAAATATTTCAAAATTAGCATCACTGACCCCACCTTTTTCTTTCATTATTTTAAACTACTCGATACTTGTGACTGATCAGCACTCAAGTCGTAAAAAGTTTGATATAAGAAAATTTTTTATTGCCTATTAAATTTTTCATGACCCCAGATATGTTATTTTTTAGTGCAAAAAGGTCACTCAATAATTTACGCGCATTAATTTGCAAGATTTGTTTAATGATAAATATTATTCAAACTATTTTACGTAAAATAAGATTACATTTATTGCCATGCTTACATCTAATCAAATATAATAAGGGTTAAAGTAATTAACCAAAGAGATGAAATTTAAGTGCAAAAAGGTCAACTTAAGTGTACCGTAGAGCAGTAGGATGCACACTGACCCCCTATTTTCATTGCGATTTTGAGTTACACTTTATGAGTACTTATCCAAAATATACTTCTCAAAAAATCCTTGATATAAGAAATTTCAGGAGTGACTTACCTTAATTAAAGTTAACATTTTTGAAAATTAGGTTAGACATGAAGGTAAAGGTCAAGGAGTCCAAAACCATAGCATGCTCGGAAATCACAGGTAATGCGCACGTCACATACGAAAGCCCCATCTCTTCACAATCAAAAGTTATATGGAAAGATACTTATTTTTTAAAGTAGATTTAAACTTCAGGGTCAAAGTCGCAGGATCAAAAATCATATTATATTTTAAAAGGCTTGTCACAGGTAATAAACATGTGCAATATCAAATATGAATATGAAAGCCCTATTTTTTCCCTTTCAAAAGTTAATATGGCCAAATTTAAAGTATTACTATTTTTTTTTAAAACTAGTCAAATTTAAATGTTAAGGTCACAGAGTCAAAGATCAAAGTATATATGAAATAGATCTTGTCACAAGTAATGTACATGTGAAATATGCAAGCTCTCTCTCTCTCTCCATTCAAAAGTTATGGCCAATGTGGACTTTTCTAATTTCCGGTCCCTTAGAATTAAAAAACTTCCGATGGTAACTGTCACTGCATTTTTACAAGAGTGCCATAGATGTTCTGGTGCATTGGTGCAACAAAATCAAAATGAAATCTCCCATAAAACTCCACTTTTGTTCTGAATGATTTTTTAAACATTATTTTAGATATATGGATTAAGAAAAAACATAACAAGGACAAGATGTGCTTGTGAAACACTATGCGCCCGGCGGCAACAAAGCTCATAAAAGCTATTTCAGCATATAGGTCACAGTCAAGGTCACAAGGTCATTGACCTTGGTGTCATTTGAAAAAAACTTAATTAGTGGAGTGTGCATACCAAATATGAAGTCTCTACCTCTCATGATTCAAAAGTTATGGCGAAGATTAAAGTTGTTTAGACAAACAGACAAACAGATAGACAAATAGACAGGGCAAAAACAATATACGCCTCGGATCTATCGATCCGAGCGCATAAAAATTAGAGAGTATCTTGACAATCAATTTGAATTTCACTTGTTAGAATTTTTCATGCGTGAAAAAGTTTAGATTCAAATATATAACTTTTGACAAAATCAAAAGTTAGTCAACAATCATGAGATGCCCAAACTCATCTGCAACATTATAATTATGTTCCTTGGTTAAAGCTCCCCAAAAGTTTAAAGTGTTCATTTGGGAACAAATTCTTTATAAATTTCTTGTTAAAATAACATATTCTACAAATCTATACTTATAAATTAACAAACTTTGCAAATAAACTCTGAAACGGCTGCACAAGAGCTCTTACTTAAGCCTGTAGGAATGCACTAGGTATAAGGAGATGTACGGAAGCCCAATAGTGCAAACCAAAAATAAATAAAGAAAAACGAAATTATTAAATAAATAAAGAAAACAAAATTATTGAATAAAAAAATCGAAATTATTAAATGAAGAAAAACGAAATTATTAAATAAAGAAAAAAGAAATTAATATATAAAAGAGAAACGAAATTAATATATAAAGAGAAACAAAATTATTAGATAAAGAAAAACGAAATTATTGAATGAATCATTTCCTTTTTCTGTATATAATAATTTCGTTTTTCTTTATAATAATTTCGTTTTTCTTTATTTAATAATTTCGTTTTTCTTTATATATTAATTTCGTTTCTCTTTATATATTAAGTTCGTTTCTCTTTATATATTAATCTTTCTCTTTATTATTTAATAATTTCGTTTTTCTTTATTTAATAATTTCGTTTTTCTTTATTTATTTTTGGTTTGCACTATTGGGCTTCCGTAGTGATATCCGTAAACTATATTCAGATTTCACTCGCATAGAAATTATCGTAAATTTATTTAAAAGTCTTCTTTCATTTTCGAATAACAGCCTGAATAGAGCACTGAAGAGAGAAAAGTGGTGGCGGATTTTAGTAACTGGCATTTAAAAAAAATGACAACAAGCGAGCGCTTATTTATTTCATAAAACGTCATTTATAAATTGTTCAATCAAAACTTGATTTAAGTGATATAAAAGAAATAGGCTTTGGTCATTGATTAAAAAACAAATTGTGCAAATCCTTTCTGTTTATGTTCGATCTACTATTTGTTGAAAGTTATAGAAAGTCAGGTGGCGTCGAACCCGATGTCTAAAAGAAAATCGAGGCGATTGTTTATCACGAATGGACATGGAAGTAAATATAAAGAAATTGGTAACACTATGAGTTTATGAATATATCTTAGTAAGTTGTGCTAATGTTTTATAAATAAATGTCGATTAATGTCCATGGTTATATGTTTAGACATATAAAATGATACAATTTGATTTTTGAATAATTTACTTAAATGCTTTAAAAATGTGTTTTTTGATGAATACATTTCAGTTGAGTTGAGGGGTAGTGGTTGACAGAAATTTGTTTCACAGCTTTTGACTTCTAATGCTTTATACCTATTACTTTTCATACGAACTTAACACAGGTCCGCGTTCTCGGGGGGGGGGGGGGGGGGGGGGTGGGCTCCTTTTTCTAGGGGGGTTTAAGGTAACTTTTTACTTGGTTTTTTGTATCACTTTAATATCTCTGCAAATTCCAGGGGGGGGGATCCCCCCGCCTCTAGATCCGCGCATGGATGAAAACTAATTTTTTTCCGCAATAATTTATATGTAGTGCATGATGTATAACATAGTACAACAGAATAAACTTGCTTTATAATATGTAAGAAGAGGCCTTCAATGAAATTGATATTTGTAGAAGTAAAAAAAAAATATATCCCCAAATATTAAAAAAATGTATTTCTTATAATTATCTATTTCTGATCCTAAACTAATTGCTGGACTTTGAAGTATTTCGTCATGCTTTATTCCTGTGTAATAAACTGTCAATAGAATTTGAAAGATAGAGATAGACTGAAAAAGTTCTGTTATAACCCCCCGCGCTTGCGCGGGATTTCAGCTAGTTCTTAATTAATCTCTTGTTATAATATCATACATTCTGCATTTTTTCTTTTCTTTTCACCCTCGAGCGAATGCTCAAGCATTTTCTAACATTGCGGTATCCTGTTTAAAAATAAAACATTTCATTTCTGTCATTTGATTACACTGTCCCTGATTAAATATTAAGGCGCAGTGAAAATGCAGTAATTCAAAATTGAAGACTTTAAAAAGGGGGTAGGGTGATGGTGGTGGTGGTTAGTTTCGTGGATGTAGCGGAGTAAAGATCGACGATGCATATATTTTGTCAGGCAATATTATACTAATGCTTACAAGTGTATTAGATAAACCGTGGGTGTGACATTAAAAAAATAAACAAACAAGCTTACTACATTTATCTGTTTTTCATCGCTCACTGACCTGGACACTTTGCATGCATTAGGTGCTGAAGGCTACATCACTCATTAGAACAAGCACTGTTCTTTTAAGGTTAAGGAATTCTCGATGATTTTAATTTTTTTTCTAGATATTTTACAAAAGTGTCGAACTAGGCTTGTTTCCTAAAATTGGTAAGTAAAATCTATAGTTATAGTGAACAGCTGCACTAATACGGCCATAAAAACAATATTTTTTTTTCATTACTAAGTCATCTGTATTTTCATTGTTCGCCCCCCTTGTACACTGAGTATAGGGCGTTTCCTGCGCAAAAGTCAATTTTTTGGACAGCACTTGTCATGTAAGGACCACGTTCTCCAAGACAGACCGACTATACAAAATTAAATAATCAATATTTAGTATATGTTGTTTTAGAACAAGTTTGAGGATTATATTTATAAGAAAAAGTTTTAGAATTAGATTTAATGTCAAAACAAATGCATTGCATGTCTGTAAACCACTTCATACTTTGAACGTTACTAAGCACACCACAATCGCTCAGAGACGGCTATATCTATGATATGAAAAACTCTTTAAAACATGGATAAGATGGTTTCTTGTTTCTTTGTTGTTTAACGTCCTCGCGAGAATTTTTCAGTCATATGGCCACGCCACCAACTGCCGGTGGAGATCTAGAGCTGCAAATTCTGACTTAAGCTCGCAATTACGGCCATTTAGCAGGGTCCATCTTTTTCGCGCCAGCACCTTCTGCAGAACGGGACCTCCATTTATATATGATGTCTTCCAAAGGACCAGTCTCCGCGTCCCACAGTGCGAACCTGCGTCGTAGGATAAACTCCTTACTCTGCGACTCTTGATGTAGACGCTCATCCTCTTACCACTGCAACATAGGCGACCGGTAGAGAATAATAAATAGAATTTAAAACATTGAACTAAATACCGGTCAACTTTTATTCAGCAAATTCGAAAATTTACATGGACTGGCTTGTTACAACATATTTTCCACCTGTCACCCCGGCCGCTTAAATGCGAAAGATAGGGGACGTGTAACGTAACCTTATTCGTCTATCCATCACTCAGTCACCAAAATTAACGTATCCAAGTTTAACATAGAAATACATATGAAAATGTTTAAAAATCTTCTCAAGAACCACTGGGTCAGGAGAGCTGAAATTTATGTGGAAGCATCCTTGGTTAGTGTAGATTTTAAATCGATAAACCATGACCCCCAGGGGTAGGGCGGAGCAACAATAGGGAATCCAAGTTTTACATAGAATTATATAGGAAATTAAAAAAAAAATCTTCACAAGTATCATATAGAGTCAGTAAAGCAGAAACTTTAGTGGAAGCATCCTCGGGCGGTATAGATTTAAAATTGTTAAAATCATGACCCCCGGGGGTAGGGCGGGGCAACAATAACGAATCCAAGTTTTAAATAGATTGAAATATGTAGGAAAAATCTTTAAAAATCTTCTTTTCAAGAACCATTTGGCCAGGAAAGCTGAAACTTATGTGGAAGCATCCTTGGGTAGTGTAAATTTCAAACTGATAAAATCATGACCCCCGGGGGTAGGGCGGGGCCACAGTAGGGAATACAAGTTTGTCATAGAAATAGATATGAAAAATCTTTAAAAATCTTTTTGTACAGGTATGAATTCCTTAAATTGGGTCGTTTGTCTCCCAAACCCTATATAGAAGAAATACATATACCTATTCTCTCCCAGTGGAACATAAGGTCAACACAAGTCTTCGCCATTCAATTCTCTTCTTGGCCATGGTCCCTGCCTCTCCCCAAGGTTAGGTTAAGGTCTCCTAGTTCGCCCTCGACTGTCCTGCGTCAGATGCTCTTTGGTCTTCCCCTTGGTCTTTTTCCGGGTAGTGTCCATTTTAGGGCGACATTGGGAATTTTCGATCCTTACATCCTAACAGCATGTCCTAACCAATTAAATTTCCATTGTTTTAACTCGTCTTTAATACACTTTGAGTTTGTCATTTTCTGTAGGCCTGCATTGGATATAGTATTTGACCACATTTTATGTAGACAGCTATGGTGAAAAATGGACAGTGGTCTCATGTCAGCCTTCTAACCCTCAAACATTCACTTCCATACAATAGAATTGATTTCATATGCTGTTATATAATTTCACTTTTGTTTTCTTTTTAAATTGTTTTGATTACCAGAATGTTTTTTAATTTGAAGAAGGCTGTTTTTGCTTTTGCTAGTCCGTTCTGAATTTGTGAAAACGCTTCCTACCCATTAAAAATATTTCCTATACTAGATGTATTCACATATTTTAAATTTGTGAAAACGCTTCCTACCCATTAAAAATATTTCCTATACTAGATGTATTCACATATTTTAAATAATCTCTTAAAGAGAATTGTAGATGTAATTGTATGTTTTTAATTAAAAGAAAAAAAAATGAAAAGAGCATTGTTAACCACATTTCTTTAAAAGGATATACACGTTTATTTCAACCTTAATAAGGCTTTGTCGCCATATTCTTATCAGGATAAAAAGGAAAAGATCAGTGAGCCATGAATTGAAACATAGATATTTTAAAATTCTATTACTATAAACAGTGCTTCTCTAAACTTAATTACATGAAATTAATAGCAGAATTTTGGGAAAAAAAATACACCGAAGTTTCATACACGTATGCTATCATGAAGAATATTATATTAATCCTTTCACACTAAAGGTATATTTAATATTATCAAGCTAAAAATTTCATAGTACTAGTTTCTCTATATCATGTGCGGTAAAAATTACATGATCAAAACTTCAACGTCAAAAGTGCACTGGCATTTCTGTAAATCAAGATTCTTAAATAAATTCTCAATCCCATGAATGATTTAACGCATTGTTATTCCATTAACGTTTTTTATCATCTTCAGAACAAAGAGTATTCCTACACTGTTTTCACAGCTAATTTTGACACGAGATATGTAGGTAAACATGGCATTTTTCTTCGTTATACACTTAGATAGTACTTAGATTTGTTCCTCTTTGAAAGCGAGGAAAATGTGAGATCGACACGTGGTAACACGAAAAAACAGTTAACCATCGGACAGTGTAGCGTACGAACATTTATGAAAAATGCAAAAAGGAAAGAGAGCAGATATAGTATGTTTCTTATCAAGCACTTTATTTCTTTTTCTCCCTCTTCATAAAACTTTGCAAGATACTTATCATCGCCTTTCTGATTGATGGGTTCGTTGCCATAGCAATATACTTATCTATTTTTGCCGAACGTCGAATCATCTTTTGAGTTCTTTCACTGATAAATTTTTCCCTTGAGCTGCTTCAAACACACAGTCATATGCTGCCCGGTTTTCGGGCTGGAAAGCTACCATGGAAATTATTTGGCTTCAACGTCCACACGACGGCATCCCCTGGGGATTTCGCCTGCAAGGGGGGCGGGAATTTGGGCAGCCGCTTGCCGTACAGAGGGTATGTTCTTTTTCAGTAGAGATATTTTGATCGCAACGCCACTTTTAATTCGTCATTTATACGCAAAAATTACAAATTTCATCTTCATTTTAAGGAAATATTTGAAAATTATTTCTTTATGTTCATGTTAAATAATTATTAATCCTGTTCATTATATATATCAAATTTTCATTACTTCAAATTTTTAACATGTATTCTGTGTGGTGGTGTGTATATATAAAACCGTATGATTCACAAAACAAGATTATAAATCTGAAATACCAGCCTGTGTATATGATTCACAGCGAAAACATTTCTGCAGCGTCTCAGATTAACCAGAGATCGTGTGGAGCTGGATTCTGACATGTTCTAAAGCCTTCTTCATGTGGCGTTTGTATTTTTTCCTTATCTCCTTTGCTGTAATGATGTAATTCTTTTAATGCATCGCGTATAAGTCTGGAACACATGCATTTCTTGGCTCTTTGAGATAACATTGTGTGTATAAGGCGTGTCATCTTAAAAATCGTCTTAAATCCCCTTTATATTACATGTTCATTAAACTTGCACATGGCCAAAATGTATTGTATACGATGTCTTTATCAAATAAAGTTTAGGAATTGTATGTTGTGCTTTACCTTTCTTCTAACCTACATGTGTAAATGTCATCATTATTTGCAATATGCCATATTTAATTTAATGTTTTTCATCGACAGCAAAGAAAATAAACTCTCAAAGATTTCTTTCCTTCAAAGCATGATCATAAAGATTTGAAATACCATAATGTCGGCTGATACTACTCTTTCCTTAAGTTCTGATTACTTTGCATGGTTACTATTATTATTCAAAATACAAAGCGAAAACCCCCTTTTGGATGCTATCATTCTTTCAATCCCTATAATGTAGCGTACATGTACTTGTCATGCAAACACTTTCAAGGAAATAGAAAACATAAAGGTTATAAGGACTTTGGCCGGGGGGATATGGGGGATATGAGAGCTGAACAACCTTTTCATCGTTCAAAAAACTTAAGAAGATGTTGCGTTTCTACCCCTGCATAACATTGGTTTTGGTCGCTGTGGTGAGAGCGTTTGCCCTAGAGCGTAGAGTAAAGAATTGATCCTTACGTCGTGGGTTCAAATCCCACTGCGGGACGTGGCGGCCGGGGTATCGCATAATAAACGTTCCGGGTAACTTGGCGTTCCGGTCCTTCGGATGAGACAGTATAAACCAAGGTCCTGTGTCGCAGTAGGTGCTGACACCAAAGTGATCCCACACAGCTCAATGGTCCTGAGTGCTGAGTTTAGGTCAAAATTGGCAGCCGATCACCTCCAAGAGATTAAAAAAATATCCCATTTAATTATAATCGTGTCTCTATATTCAATTAAACGCTGAAATGAAAGTGAAGAAATATCAATTATTAGAGAAAAATAGGACCATAAAGCTGATTTCAAGTTTTAAGAGTAAGTGATCATTCTTTAGAAAAAAAAAAAATGTAGACTTAAATTTTCCAAGAGATCGAAGACTGTGAAAAAATTGTGATAATTAAATTGGATAATGACAACCACTTCTTTCTTGACCCGACGACAAAACCTCTAACCCAAAAATCAACTACATCGTATTTTCAAAATGAATATTAATATAAAATTTTATATATTTCTTGTGGACTTTTACTGTTTCATTTGCTTAATAACATATTAACTTTCTCTGTTTTATGTATAGAACACGTCACGTACGCAAGGAGGTAAATAAACCACAATCTCGGTATATTATCTTGCTTCTAGGACAACATGCGCTTAATAGAAAGAAAAGGAAAATAATGCAAGTATGTAACTGACCCCTCAAAACCAAACGTACTGTATCCGACCTCTCCAAAACAAACAAAGTGGAGCTGTAAGTCAAACGTACTGGTAACACCTGCATATCTGCTGAATAATCCAAACTATGAGCATATGAGCTCACATGTAATTTTAATTGCTCTAAATATAACTATTATTTTAACATTCCAGCTTTGATTTCCATCAAGTTTAGTTGTATTAGACTCAAATGGAAATTAGCATGAGGTATGAAGCGGACCAATTTTTCAGAAATGATATTTCATGTTTGACCATAATAAGATTTTTTACATAGAGAATAGCACAAACAATAATTTTAATACTTCTGTTTTAAATTAAGTTTGTTTGAAATGGCAGTTCAAAGGAATCCGTCACTAAACTCTGGTAAAACATGCTTAGTCCGCTTAGGGAAAAAAATAAAGCATGCGCAGAGATGGGGGGGGGGTTGTTCGGATCCCCCTGACTGAATTTGTAGACTGAAAGTGGGGGACAATTATACCAGGGTGATATTTTTTCTTATTTTGAAAATTATCTCTTATCCGAGGATCGGTCCCCCTTATAAAACCCACCAAACAGTTTTCTCTGTACAATTGGTTTGTGTTTATTTCCTTCCTGCTCTCTCTACAGGTGGTTCCCGGAAGTGTAGCAGACGGCTCCCTGTCGTCTGGAGACCTGATCCTTAAAATCGGAAACCATAATGTGACTAATGCCTACCACTCCGAGGGTCAGGATCATATCAAAAACGCCGGAAATACTCTGCAAGTGACAATCAAAAAGTAAGTTCAGCGGTTTTCCGAAGAATTTGTGGTATAATTCTCGAAAATATAAAAACGATAACTTTTTTTGCAACCTATTACAATAACAACAAATCCAAAGCAACGTTCCAGAATGAACATGGTGTAACAAAATCTTTCTCAAGACATACAAACTTGTGATTTTTAAAAAAAGAATGAGAAAAACAAACTGTCTAATTTAATCGCCAGACTTACTTTCATGCATGCAACTAAGGAAGCCTATAACCACAACATCAGGATGAAATACTGTTTTATTTCATATGACTTGGCATCTTGTGCAGTTTGGATATTTATACACAATACCTCTTGTTACAATTAAGAATAATGTGTATACATGTTTAATGGCACATGTCTGTGTAAACAATTCGTTTTCCTAGAATATATCTTTTCCTATTTCATATATATATTATTGCTATAATTCAGACTTTTGTCTATATCAAAGATCCAAGCATACAGTATTAAACATTTTAGTTTTATTGATAGATATTTATCAGGCTATAGTAACTGTTGTACAGCAAGTTGAATTCTATTGATCTGAATCTATATATTAAAGCTTATTAAGCAATGATTAAGCTGTTTTATATATATTTATACTTGTTTATAAGTTAGTTATATGTTTTGTATATGTTTGACTTAACATTTTTTTTTCATGTAGAAGGACATTCATTCATAAACCTCAGATCAGACAATATGCTTATTGAAAACACATGTTCCTTCCAACTGTTAATACAATATGTTACATATGTAAGATAACACTTACAGAATAACTAATTGGCACTCATTCCCTCTGGCCGAGCACTTCTGCCCACTTGCGCCATGGATCTCTCGATGAACAGTCGACCCCGGCCTTTTTACCGTAGCTCATCAGTAAGTAAAACACTTCTTTTTTTATTACTTTTAGGGTTCCACGAGTCGCTGCTAGTTGTCCAGTGAGCCCAACATCCTCTCACAGTTTTAGCTTTCCGAACCCGATCAATCCGTATGCCTATCGCGCATTCTCACCAGAAAATGACAGATTTTCTCTACAACGTCCACTAAGAAGTCAATATTCAGTAGATGATGATGATCTACGCCAGTTTCAATCTTTACCACGGCATAGAGTAACAGCTGGCGGAATGCACCAAAGTGGTATGGATAATTATGATCCGTACTCATCTAGAAAACATGACAGCAACGGTTCATTTGATCGTGGGTGCTACACAATGCCAAAACCTTCGCCATACCGACCAAGTAATGCTCAGGCACAAAACTCACATTTTCGAAGCGGCAGTAGTGACAGTAGTGGATACCAAACATCTTATAGCCCGACTACAGTAGAATCATCTATTGGCTATCAACGTTCTTCGTCGTCTGCTTGTTCTCCGCCAAAGGGTTTCCACGGTCCAGGGCCTGGAATATCACCTCCATCATATGAAAGAAGTCTGTCCGATAGAAATCGGCCGTTTTCTCCCTTGTACAATCGCCAAGACTCTTTTGGACAGAATCAAGACCATTTCAGTAGAAGAATCGGTGAAGAATTACACAATTTACCTGGAGAATTCTCCGAGAATGTAAACAGCACTAGTAGGAATCCACATCAGCTTGTTAAACAAAGTTCAAGGGAACAGCCTATCTACAGAGGATATCAATCTGACTTTTCAAACGGACGGACAAATGTAATATCACCATCTAGTGAATATAATAGATCACCCAATGAAATCCGGCGACAGTTGTCATTTGAATCTAATATTCAAAATCCAACGTTTGTCCAGTCGTCAGTACATGTAGGAGGAAATCCACAACCACGAGGGTTTCAGAGAAGTTATGCTTATGATAGTGATAGAGCAGAAGAAAAACCTGTAGTACACTATCAAAGACAGACATCATCAGGAACGTTACCTAAGTACGAGTCAACAATCTCATCACCTCCACCTGGCCACCATCCAAAACAAAATGGCGAAAAACCAGAACCGCCGGTTAGATCGCACAGCTTTGAGCCCCGTTTGAGGAAACCAAGTCACAGCAGTTCTACAGGAATTAGTTCTATAGAGGATATTTTGTCTCCTTTCGAAAAATTTCAAACTTCCAATTACTTCAACGAATTTTATAAGGACCAGCCAAAGTCACCCCCGACCAGCTACAAGGCGAATTGTTTGGATACTTCAAATTTTAGTTCTCTACCAACGGATGGTTCTCCAAGCTTATACAGCCGGGAAGGAAACGTTACAGCTTGTAAGGAAAAGAGTGTTCCAAACACCACGACAAACCAATTCGAGGAATCAGTGTCATCTAGCAAGGAAACAGGGGATAAGGAAATGACTTCTTTTAATCGATTTGCACCCCAACCCCAAATGGCACCCCCACCCCCACCACCACCACCACCACCTCCCCCTCCCCCTGGACCCCCAGGGCCTGGACGCCAGATAACAAGAAAACCTGTTCAGGTATGCACTATGCATGTCAGATTACTTTTCATTAACAAATCAATATACTTGAAAGAGCATTTTCCAAAAATCGTCAGCCTTTTTGTGATGCTAAACTCCTAACATAAAGTGCATGCTATACCTATATTTGTATTCTAAAGTATTTGTGCTACGTGAAAGCTAATGTGGGCGTCAGAGAATTCATGCAATGTATACACAGACATACAAAGTTGAACAAATATTTGTATCTCTATGTATTATTTTTTATGTGTTACTTTTAAAAAAAAAAATTGAAATTATTTGTAGCAGCCAGTTAGTAACGAACAGAGGACGCCAGGGGACGGGAGCCCCGTCACACAAGGGCAATTCTCGGATAAAATCCCGGACGCAGTATTAAACACGATGCTTAAACAGCAAGGAAGTGGAACTCCAAAGCCATTTGCCTATATAACTGGGGGCATAGATCTGAAAGAATTCAAGCAAAAGAGAAAGTACGTCTTACCTTGGCATGCAATAGCTCAAATAATTTGGTGTATAAACGTTCATAGAAAGTAACTGTACATACTATAAGTAACTGACAAACGTGCAAATCAAAGGAAAAAAAACTCTTCTTAACGAACAAGTAGCAAGTACATGTAGGAAAATTTATTGAATTTATGGTGATTAATCAAAGAAACATGCTTAAGCACCTCTCGAGAAACAAACATCAGTCGATTCACTGCTGCAATATGAAAAGCTCTTCAAAAATTGCCGTCTGCGAAAAATATGGCAATTCACCAAATTGATGTACATGTGTAACTAAGCACATCCCATGATACAGAAACAGGATTTCGTGCTAATTTTATAATTGTAAGGTGTAGTTGGTCGGAATGGATTGAATAACTTCATTGTTTAAGGTTTTCTATCTTGTTCCGAAAATTAAACTTTTCCTATTATCCCCCCCGAAAAATAAAGTAATAATTTAAAAAAAAAAATATATATATATATTGCCTTAAAACTCTATCGCGACCTGATGCATCATTAAGATCTCAATTATTAAATAATGTCCTTTTTTTGTCAGTAATTTGTATCATTATTCGGACAGTCACGGCAATTGAAACTAGAAAACTATTACTTTCTCTTTTTAATGAATGCCATAAGGATTCAAACCGTTTTGTGTCAGTGGTTTGTATCTGACCCTGAGGTCGACTTTTATTGTCTTGAAATTGTGATATTGTGGCTTTCATAAAACTTGTAGGTGTTACTTGTATCAAGAAATTTTCAACGCAGTCGTTTAACTTGAATAGTGCTTTCGCTTTTTCCTTGATTATTTTTACTTTGTTATTTTCATTTCTTAGTCGACCTCCGCCCCCTGTAATGCCAAAATCGTACCGTGGTCCAGATCTTAACGTCCCTGAATCATCTACATATAAAGGTCAACCTTCGCCGCCAATTAGAGCCCAGCAATTTCAGCCTCAGCAACAATACCAGCAGGTTTCGCCAACAACACAACGCTTCTCAAATAACGCTCCAAGCTATCAACAGCAAACACCGCGTTATCAACAACAACAAGAAGGCTACCAGCAACAACCCCAAAGCTATCAACAACCACAGAGATCACAAGATGCTTACAGACATGCACAGTATAACTCTCCAATCCAGATGTACTCGCATAGCAACGCAGAGGAAGCCTTGCGCACGCAGAGTGGTGGAGCTCTTACAGGGATATCTGGGTAGGTGTTGCCGAAATGTTCGGTTTGGGATTTACTTCATTACATTATCATTGACATTGTAAATTAATTTTCTCGGAAACTTGTATTAAAAGATGAGATATGGGCATATGATATGATGATATACACAACCATAATGATATTCTGCAGGGATTGAATTTTTATTATATCCAAATCAGATGTTGTTGATAAAAAGTACTAAAAATTCCATCTGCTTATTATTTGGGAATGTTTAGTTTATTTGGAGAAATGAGTCAACTTTCCATTGCGACAGGCTCGTCTTACTGGGCCTGCGTGCGAGGGATATTATGCTCTGTTTTGTTTGTACAGTTTTTTTTTGTAATATTACTCGTACAAGTCAAACATACAAAATGCTTTCAGTGCTCGGTCCCGACAGAGGCGGTGCTCAGAGCCAGCGGCTCCACTGTCGCGCTCTAACTTCTCGTTGCCAAACAAGACTATTCGGTGAGGCGGTAGCATCGACAACAATTATTTCTAATTTGTTTACATTGCATCACAAATATAGCACTTTAGTATGCCAGAGAAACACAGTTGTATCCTATTAGATTCTTTTTAGAGAGAATTCAGAAAACTATTTATCAGTTAAAAATATATGGCATGTCGGCTTTATTAAGCAAAAAGATGCATATTTAAATAAGCATGAAAATAGTTATTTTCAAACAACCTAATGTAGACCTTATCCATAATTTTCTTTGCAACTCGCAACATTATTAAGGATGCTTTTTCAGAATGGATTAAATTCAATTAGGTTACTTTTATTTTGTTGGTGAATGAAATACAAGTACAAGTGATGATTAGCACGATTAGGCAACAGGAATGTAACAAAAGGCAAAGACTTTCATTCGTCATTATTGTTTATTTTTTCAATTCTCACATAAGATTTGTCAAATGTTATAATTATTTTTGTATAGTAATTATCCCATTCTCAATCAATTTGTGCAGAGTCTCACAGTTAGCATACCCCCCCCCCCCCATTTTAAGTAAAATTTTTCAGCCTGTGTTTCCTCCTATTTTTCATACCTGACAGGCATATTTAAAATATTAAAATTGTCATACACTGTTCTTGAAAATTTTCGTTTCATTTAAAGATAAATAATGCGTTTAAGGTAGTCCGATCTTCAGGTTCATAAAATAAGCAGGTATCTAAGCATCCAGAGAAATTGTCACAATTTTTATACGTATTTGGTGTTTTATATCTTCTATTTTCTTCAATAATCATTTGATACACATCGTAAAAAGCTTTGGCTTCATGTATTATTGCAAGACATCACAGATCATGTTTAACTTCACATGCTAGTCTGTTTATAAGGCTAGATACAATTAATCATATTTCTATAAACCTGTATTTATTTATTATTATTATTTTTTTTTTTTTACATTTATAGGGTTCAAATGTCAACTTATTACAAGACCCTTTCTAAGACTTCAAAGAACCTTAAATTATATTGAGATGCATAAAATAAAAATTGTTGCATGAAAAGTTTTCAATTTCAAGCTTCATGTTGACGCGTTTTAAAAATTAATAAATGATTTTAAGAGTTATCCTTCCTGGCTGAGGATTGGATATCCGTAAAGAAAAATTGTATCTATAGACATTTTTCTGTTGTATATTTTATGCCCCCGTAAACGAAGTTTCGGGGTATATAGTTTTTAGCTCACCTGAGCCGAATGCTCAAGTGAGCTTTTCTGATCAAAATTTGTCCGTTGTCTGTCGTTGTTGTCGTCGTAAACTTTTCACATTTTCATCTTCTTCTCAAGAACCACTGGGCCACTTTCAACCAAACTTGCCACAAAGTATCCTTGAGTGAAGGGGATTTTAGTTTGCTCAAATGAAGGACCAAGCCCTTTCCCAATGGGAGATAATTATGAATAAATGAAAAATTTTAAAAATCTTCTTCTCGAGAACCACTGGGCCAGGAAAGATGAAACTCATATGGAAGCATCCTCAGGTAGTGTAGATTCAAGTTATTTCAAATCATGACCCCCGGGGGTAGGGCGGGGCCACAATGGCTGATCAATTTTTTACATAGGAATACATAGGAAAAATCTTTTAATAAGCTTCTTCTGAAGATCAGCAAAGCTATGGTTGGTGATATTAATATGGAAACATCCTCAGTTAGCGCTAATTCAAGTTTGTTCATATCATGATATCTGGGGGTAAGGTGGGGCCATAATGGACAATCAAATCTTTACATAGAAATATATAGGAAAAGTCTTTAAAACTCTTCTTCTTAAGAATGGCAAAATTATACATGTATGCTCTATTGATAAAGTGACATTTTCAAGTAATAAAAAATTTAAATTCCCCTCCCCCAACAAGTAAACTTTTCAATACTGAGCTTATTTGTGTTTTTTTAACTAGCCCATGTGCTCAAGTGAGCAATGTGGCCTATGGGCCTCTTGTTGCCCATCTGGCGTCTGTCTGTCTGTTTGTCCGCAAAAATTTTATCATTGCCCATAAATTTTGACTGGGTGGGATTATGGCTTTCATATTTCACAGGTGTATTCCTTGTGACAAGACCTCTCTTATGATACCACTAAATTTGACCTCTTGATCTTGGAGTTTGACACACTTTTACCTCAAAATTCCAAACTTTTACTTTGGCCATAACTGTTAAACGGTTGGTGCTTCACATATGTATTCTTTGTGACATGACATTTCATTGGATACCAACAACTTTGACCTTGTTACGTTGACCTTGGAGTTTGTTAAAAACATTTACTCTTGGCAATATCTTTTAAATGGTTGGTACTATAACTTTCATACTTCACATATGTATTTTTTGTGACAAGACCTTTCATTGGATACCAACTTTGACTTTTTCACCTTGACCTTGAAGATTGACCTACTTTAAAAAAAAATTAACCTTGGCCATAACTTTTGAACTGTAAGGGCTAGTGTTTTCATACTTTGCATACTGGTATATAATCTTTGTGACAAGACCTTTCATTGGATACTAGCAAATTTGAATTTTAGACCTTGAACTTGGAGATTGACTTACCTTTAAAAAACATAAACCTTTAAAAAACATAAACTGTTGAACGGTAAGGGCTAGTGCTTTCATACTTCACGTATGTAATCTTTGTGACAAGACCTTTCTTTAGAAACCAACAACCTTGACCTTTGAGCTGCTTGACCCCGAGGTTCGACCTACCTTTAAAAACGTTAACCTTGGCCATAACTTTTGAACAGGTGATGCTAGGGTTTATATTTCACATTTGTATTTCTTGTGAGAAGGCCTTACTTTGGGCATCAACATGTTTGATTTGCATTTGAAAAAAAAATAACCTTCGCTATGTTGCCATGCAGGGGGCATCAGTGTTTCACAAACACCTCTTGTTTTTTTCTGAGTTAAAGAAGTCATCGTTGAGAAAAATCTTGAAATAGATAAATAAATAAACAAAGATGCATCATTATATAATTTAATTATTAATTTGTCACATATATTTTTTTTATTTGTTCAATCGGTAGATCTACAATCGCATGACTTCTATATCCCTCTGTCGACCTTACTATCTGGTAATGTTATACAAGTAAGGTGTTTACATCAGTTTATCTGGAATGCACGTTGTCGTATTCTACAGCATTTTTTCTATTCAGTTCCAAAGTTATTTTAAGAAGTATCTGTTTAAGTCTTTCTTTTCATGTACCGACAACTTTATAGAATTACACATGTATGTAAAACAATAGACAAATGTTTTATTACATTGGACAACCTTAAGTAGCATATAGCATTTATAAATTGAACATAGTCCTTAATATTTTAAATATTTATATATCTAATTTTTCCAAACAATTGTCATTTAAGAAATTTCATTTTTGTATGGTTTAGATAAACGACATATTTAGTATGCACTTCCTTAATTATCAGTATTATAGTTATTTTACACGTTATGTGTATTCATTTTATGTTGATAATATTTTCAACTGTAAGATTAAGCATATAATTCTTTGAAGAGGGTCTTATTCAGAGGAATTGTTAAAAGGATAAAAAAGTTGGCATTGTTATAAGTCGTCCTCCGCTTGTTTTATAAGTTACAGCATGGTTTTTGTGATGAATTAATTTTTCTCTTTGGAGACTGAAACATTTAAATAAACATGTATTATATATGATTCTTTACAGTTATCCAGAGAAACCTGCGCAAGATATCCAACAATCTGAAGTTTACAAAATGGTACAGGAAGCGGACGGGAAAGGTAAGATTGGTGTACGGCAGCCGTTGCATATCAATACCGGTCCAGAATTTATTCCGGATATTACGTCACCGGAGACTAGTGTTGAAAAGCCCAGATTTCTTAAACCGAGAAAAGCAGGTTTATCATTTCGCGTGTTGCAATGGATGACAGACACAGATGATTTGGACGATGAAATTGTCAGCGATGAAGACATAGATAGTAGGCATAATAAATATACAAACCTCCCTGCTATCTTCTCCCTGCTGTTTCTGAGGACCCGGCTTAACCTCCATATTGCCCTTTTATCAGCATGCACTATCTACACAATATCTGAATAGCAAAAATTTTATCTTCTAATGATGAAGCACCGAATGTTACTTTACTTTTTTATTTTTTTTCTTCTCAAATTCTAGCAACATTTATTTCATTTGACATGCAATTATTGGTCTTTTTATCGAATTTAATGCGACGTATAAACGTTTCAAGCTGTAACAAAAGTACAAAACAAATCATGCACTCTGTAATTAATTACAAGACTATCATGATCTTGGACCGTGATTCCTAGTTTGCTGTAAAATTAATGTATCCAGATATTCAATTCGTAGTACCCGAGTTAGAGTCGGACCGAGAAATGAATGTTATATGAAAATATTTATAGAAATACATGTATAAACTAAAATTTTCTGATAATCTCCTTTTCAAGAATAATAGGGCCAAAATTGGTTATAGAAGATTCCCCAATAATGGAGGTATAATATCAGTTTCCAGATCGAGGATATTGTTTCCTATATAATCCTACTGAAAGTGAACCCTTTTTTTTTTCATTTTAAAACATATTACATATCGGAATTGTATATTAGTTATATTAAGAAGTGATGAACAGACAGATACATGCAATCGAGGAATGACCCTAACAAAACTTGACACGACTTAGCACTTACTCTTTGCTCTGTCCTTCCACCTTTTCATTCTCTGTCTATTTTGAGACTTGTTCACTAAATCCAGCTGTTTTGCTGTTTTATTTTATAGCAGATTAAGGGTACATAACAACAAAATGATTAATGACATATTTTTGGAAAAAAGTATCATTTTTGGTGTTCAAATCGTTGTTGTTTACAATCGTTAGATCGTTTAGAATAATTACATCCATACTTTTAAAGTAATTGTTGTTCTCTTTTACTCATTAAAATATCTTCTTGAATAATGACAAGCATGTACCCTTAATTGTTTTGGCCGTTTATTCGGTGCAAGAATTGCATGCATAACAAGATTAAGGTGTACAACTGTACATAGTTCAGGATCAGCTTCTCTAGCCTTATTTATTTATAACAAGAATAGAAAAAATACGTTAAATTACAATTACAGTTGTACCAATTAAATGGCATCTTTAATTTTATTGTCTGTGATCAGTGGCAACTGAGAAGCCGATGTGATGAACTCCCTTAATCAGCTGAATTCTGAAGCACGTAAATCACATTGAAAGACGGAATCCCCCTATTACCGACCTGTCTGAGGAAATAATTTGTCAGTAACAAGGTGGAAGTCCCTTTACAAAAGAATATGACTAAGATTAAAAATGCCTTTATCTCCCTAAAACGTTCCTTTGAAGCTTCTTCTTGTCTCTGTGAAAAAAATACTTAATCACTGGACACTATTCTCTTTCTAGATTTCCCAATTTACTGCAATGTAATAGACATATAACGCAGATGAAGTCATGTTCATTCTTTTGTGAAGCAGACCTGAAATTTCTAATAAATACTAAAACTAAAAAAGATGCATGGATTGGTATACATTTATATCGTTTGGACTATCATTGTGTATCATATGGTGCAATTATCGAATTTCTGAGATGAGAAGATATTAAGAAAAATATATTTTTATGTTTAAAATTCTATTCATGAAAATAGATTTTAAAAATATGGCTTTTATATATATATATATATATATATATATATATATATATATATATATATATATATATATATATATATATATATATATAAAACTTTTGTAACAAGTGGCCATCATGGTTATAAAAATTTACAGTTCAATACTGAAGAAGGATTTGCATATTATCAGGTAGAAAACCAAGACAACCACGGGATCCACTGTTACGTCATAATTCTATTGATGACGAGATGAGATTTTCTGGATTAAACAAGAAAACAGAAATACCTTCAAAAACTTTTATGAAATTGAACCAGCTCTCTGTCAACGATGCAAATGATTCATCAACCCAATTACAGAGATACGATCAACCAGAGAGTTATCAAGGTAACGTTGTAGAAGCTGCCAAACACAGCCTACAGTTAGCAAGAGGATTTACAATAGTCAATTATTGATATATAGCTGAGTGGATTAGCAAGATATTTTGATCGTTCTACAATGCTTTAAGAACTAACATTACAGGTAGTAAAAGATTTGTATGTTTGAGAATGTTTGATGCTTTTGTGTACAATGCTATAAGAACTAGCATGTTTTTGTGTGATAGTTAGGCTTGAATGAGCAAAGTATTTACAAACCAAGGCTTGATTTTTAACCCTGCTTTTTTCAGCTGAAATTTTAATTTTTGGAAAAGAGTAGGCTATGAGTAGTGAGTAGTGCGCATTAGTGCAATTCTCTGTTATCCTTGGACTTGTAAGGCGTGGCATTCTCGACGCCACATAATTAGCCTCTTTCAAATGGTGACTTAGATGTTAACATCAGCAACTTTAGATTGTTGACATGACTTACGCCCCACTCTTTGCCATACGAAACGCTGTCATTGGTTCCTTGCTACACTCGTTGACAATCGCCCGAATTTCTATCCCATGTATATTTCATCAAGGAATGAAAAGCTTTGTAAATTTCAGTTTCGCGGAGTATACGAAGCATAACAGGGACAAGGTACCAGGCTACAGGCTTCCTTGACTCGTGACTTAATTGTTTGGCGAAATTTACATTCCAGTAGAATGATCAAAATCAACTATTTTTTTAACAACAATATGTTGACGGTGCGACCGTTAGGGCGAGCGCAGATAGGCTATTCAGTTTTCAGGCTCATCAAACCGCACGTGCCATTTGGTGCGTCTAAGACTCTGACGTCGCAAGACGTCGTATGCAAGTTGCTAAATAAAGTTACCAAAACGAAGCCTGAACAGGGCTGATATCAATGAAGAACCGTTTTATTGACTATATTTTTCTGCTATAAGGCAAGTTTTTTTTTTATCCGTTTGACATTTGTTTTTCTCGCGGGAAGGTTGCTTTAGCTTCTGTGTACGAAGCGATGCATTATGGGTCCAAATTACTGCGAAAAAAAATCTTTTATCGTACAAGTTTATCTTTTAAAAAGATAGGTGAGCTAGCGCCGTAACAATTTTTAAACACAGAAAGGAGGATCCGTGATCAAGTGATTTCTTTTGCTGAATTTTTAAATTTTTAATGAGGCTGGAGAGTGATAGTTATAAATGTTTTGTGAAGTGTATTTTTAGGTCACCTGAGTAAACTCAGGTGACCTATTGCTATCTGTTTTCGTCTGTCGTCGTACGCCGTTTGTCGGTCGTAAACTTTTGAACATTTTTAGCTTCTTCTCTGGAACCACTGAACCATTTGCAACTAAATTTGGGTATACAGCATCTATGGGTGAAGGGGAACAAAAATTGTGAATTTTATGCTTCCCCCCCCCTGGGATCTGAAGGGTGTGGCCAAAACCACTAAAATTAATGAAATCTTTAAAAATCTTCTTCTTTACTCCTGGACATCAAGCAGTCAAACTGTTGGTATGAATGTAATGAGCATTGAGTCCTCTACCAAAATTGTGAAATTCATGGCCCCAGGGTCAGGGATTCTAGTGCTAGGGCGGGGCTCTATTTATTATAGAGTGAAAATACATTAAATTTTTGAAAATCTTCTTCTCTGCTCCTGGGTGTTAAATAAACTAACTTAGTACATAGTTATGATGAGCAAGGGTGCTTCTTCCAAAATTGTGGATTCTATGGCCCCAAGGTCAGAGGTTCTGGTATTAGGGTGGGGCTCTATTAATTATATAATGAAAATGCATTAAATCTTTGAAAATCTCCTCTGCTCCTGGGTATTAAATAAACTAACTAAGTACATGATGAGCAGGTATGCCTCTTTCAAAATTGTGAATTTTAAGGCCCATGGTTCTGGGGTTTTTGCCATTTGGTGTAAGGGGTTTATATAGTGAAAATACATTAATTCTTTGCAATTTTTTTCCTTTGCCCCAGGGTATTATGCCAATGAAAATAAATTAATGCTTTGGTATCTGCTCTTTGGTATTAATCAACCATTTATGATGAAATAAAATTTATGATAAAATTTTCAAAATTTTGAAATAAGTGACCCCAGGGTCAGTGGTTCCTTTGGGATGAAGTAGCTTGGTCCTTCGGGTCATCTTTGTCAAGAAATGTTTGGTTAAAATCCATACACATCTGAATTTTTTTAATATAAATAATGGATTAATTCGTTAATTCAGTGTAAGTTTCTGGAATTTGTAAGATTGGCTGAATTGACCAATCAGGAATTAGAGTCTATCTTTGGTTGTGCTTAGACGTAAAAAAAAAAATCCTCCCTTGTCTTTGTTTATAACAATCAGATAATGACTCGGGCTTTTCCGTCAGAAAAAACTGAAAATTTGAAGTACATGTATTACAGATATGTAGTTATCTTTAAAGTGTAAGCTACACAATAAATAAACATAGTTATTTAATGCTACAACATGCTACACCGGAATTGTTATCGTACGGTCTATCTATAGTAGTTTTCGCAGTTTTCCCAGAATGCACAACCGTGAAACCGAGCATGCGTATTCAAGGAATTTGGACTAACGTAGTTGCTAGCGCTCGAGAGCGCAGGCAATGAATCTGCAGTAGTCCGATTTTTCTCTTCGCCCAGGCGTTGTCGTTAGAGCTCGCAGTTAAGAGCGTCGTTGCGCTCGCTATAAAATAATTCGAACTTATTTCATAATGTTAAGGATACGACCGTTATGGCGAGCGCAATTATTTGTTTTTTATAATTAAGATCGGGCATGTCAAACCGCACGTGCCATTTGATGCGTCTAGACTCTGACGTCACATGACGTCGTATGTAAGTTAATTTACCAAAAAGAAGCCTGAACAGTGCTGAAAGTAAACGAAGAACGTTTCGTTTACTACCAGGTATTTATTTTCTGTAATCAATATTTATCCAATTAAATCAGGGCGTGTTAACTTTTAGTTGAACATTTGCTACTATTCTCACAAGAACGAAGCTTTAACACATGATGCATTGTGGGTCTAGAGTTGCTGAGGAAAAAAAATTCTGATGAACGAATGTGCAGTAGTGCGAATTTTTTCTTCGCCCAGGTGTTGCTTTAAGAGCTCGCAGTGATGCTCGCTAATATGTTGACGGTGCAACCGTTATGGCGAGCGCAGATTTATTTTGTTAATATGTTGACGGTGCAACCGTTATGGCGAGCGCAGATATTTATAGTGTTATAAGGTAGATCGGGCTCGTCAAAGTGCACGTGCCATTTGGTGCGTGTAGACTCTGACGTCACATGACTTCGTATGTTAGTTATATTTCCAAAAAGAAGCCTGAACAGTGCTGAAAGTAAATGAAGAACGTTTCGTTTAATATTTATCTTCAATATTTATCCATTAAATCAGGGCATGTTTACTTTTAGTTGAACTTTTGCTGCTTTTCTCGCGAGAACGTAGCTTTAAGTTGCTGGGGAAAAAAATTCTGATGAATGAATATGCAGTAGTGCGAATTTTCTCTTCGCCCAGGTGTTGTTTAAAAGAGCTCGCAGTGATGCTCGCTAATATGTTGACGGTGAAACCGTTATGGCGAGCGCAGATATTTATTTTGTTCATATGTTGACGGTGCAACCGTTATGGCGAGCGCAGATATTTATAGTGTTATAATGTAGATCGGGCTTGTCAAACTGTACGTCCCATTTGGTGCGTCTAGACTCTGACGTCACATGACTTCGTATGTTAGGTACATTTCCAAAAAGAAGCCTGAACAGTGCTGAAAGTAAATGAAGAACGTTTCGTTTAATATTTATCTTCAATATTTATCTATTATATCAGGGCATGTTTACTTTTAGTTGAACTTTTGCTGCTTTTCTCGCGAGAACGTAGCTTTAACAAGTGATGCATTGTGGTTCCAAATTACTGCGTCAAAAAATCTATCGAATGAATATTCAGTAGTCCGAATTTTCTCTTCGCACAGGTGTTGCTTTAAGAGCTCGCAGTGACGAGCGTCGCTTCGCGAAGCTCGCTGCGCTCGCTCTTAGGTAGCTTGTGATGTTATGAATATTGATGAGCTAGCAACTAACGAGAATGTAGGTCACAATTTGAGAGTCGTTGCGCCAACAATGTGTCGAGAATCCATGCCTGATTATCCATTTCCGAGATGAGTCTTGACCCATGAGTGGAATCAGAGGTGATTGACGCAAATTGCGTGGGTCAGGCCCAAGAATGGATCAGGTTGTGGTAGATGTATTTTATTTGACGATACTGATGTCCTCCTAGTTACAGATAGAGAATTTTGTATCATACTTACTTCCACGAGTTACTTACTGTAATGTATTTTCTTCATTTTTTTTTTGTAAACCCACGTTTTATAAAAGTTCATGTATAAAAGTTATTCTGATGAAGAAAAACAAAAATTCAAATCTTATGACCAATGTTGTATTATACAGAAGCATGTTCTTGTTGATTCTAAAACGGTAAAGGCTCATCAATACAATGTGTATTTGTACAGTACATATAAGTTTAATTCGAACTTAATTTAAACAACAGATTATTTAGGAGGCACTTGAATTATGCTCTATTCTGTCAGTGCTATGTAACAACCGTTAATGATATATTTTTTTAAAAACGCAGCAAAATGATAGCTCATTAAGCGCGGCAACGCAACGGTTAATGTAATATATTGCTGCATTTATAGTGCAGATTATTGAAAGAATTATTTCATATATTATTAAGCGGTTTAGAATATTGAATGTTAATGCAATAATTTACGAAATTAACTTAAGCATTGTATTGCAACGATTAATGATATCTATATCATGGCGTTTTATCAGTAGCGGTGGGTTGCTACAATGCTATATAATTCCTTTTAAGTTCTCCACCAACCGTAATAGATTCGTCGAAAGAAGTAAAAAAAAAATGTCTTAGATGCCATATATACACGTAACCCTACATGTTTAAACCAGTATCTTTGAAAGTGTAAACTTAAATAGCATTATACTATATATATACTTTTTACAATCATTTTTGAATTTTCAATACTTTGAACATTAAGAACAGGAAAAAGTTAATGTATGAAAAGGACAGGTTTCATAAAGTATATATTTTCGCAAATTGCGAATTACCCTTTGAAAATGATTGATTAAGCCATGCTTGAAAGATATTATTTTTGAATAATTTTCTCGACTTATGAATAATGCATACATTAAAATTCCAGATAATATGGAGTCGAACCGAGTGGGTAACTACGAGCAGACATCTATCCGCTACACCGGCAAACATATCCCCTCGCCTTCCTTCAGAGTTCTACAGAAATTTGCAGATGAGGTTGATACACAAGGTAATTAAAAATTTATATATAACACTGCATTGACTTCAGTAATTGGAGTAATCTTAGATATACACTATCATAATCTTATTGTTCACCTGTCCAGGCTAGATAAGTAGAAAGTTCAATATCTAAACACTTAAGCAAAATTACAGTACACGCAGTGAAAACATTAGAGTCATTTTAGATAGTTTTATGTATTATATATATCCTAGCATGATAGATTTTTTTTGACAATCTAATATCAAATTCCACGCCATTGGAAAAAATGTCTTCTTTTATAGTTAGAGAAAATGTTCTTTACGAAACTAATTCTATTTTTAGTAACATATAAAACATAGTTGTTTTACTGTACAAGGATTGCTATTTTTATTTTTCGATTTCATGATGTGATCAATCGATTGGGTTGCATGATGATTTGCATAAACGCCGAAGGCGTTTATGCGTAAAATTATCACGCAAGCCAATCGATTGATCATCGTCATGAAATTGAAAATTCTGACAGTTATTCCGTATATCTACATGCTTTGATTCCGCCAATCCACGTACTCCAAGCCCTGCTTCTGTATTGCTGTTTGTTCCGCCTGCACGTGGTTTTTTCGGAACCGCGCCAATTCATTGATGGGGAAATAAAGTACATTTACAATTTGTAATTTTATTATATTAATTGTCTCGGACAAAGACATTGGAAATAAATATATCTCGGACAAAGACAATGGAAATGTACGTGTTTTCTTTTTTGGAACCGCGCCTATACATTGATGGGGAAATAAAGTACATTTACAATTTGTAATTTTTTAAGGAATAACTGTCTTATTTTTCGATTTCATGATGTGATCAATCGATTGGGTTGCGTGATAATTTGCATAAAACGCCGAAGGCGTTTATGCATAAAATTATCACGCAAGCCAATCGATTGATCATCGTCATGAAATTGAAAATTCTGACAGTTATTCCTTATCTTTACATGCTTTGATTCCGCCAATCCACGTGCTCCAAGCCCTGCTTCTGTCTAGCTGTTTGTTCCGCCTGCACGTGGTTTTTTCGGAACCGCGCCAATTCATTGATGGGGAAATAAAGTACATTTACAATTTGTAATTTTATTATATTAATTGTCTCGGACAAAGACATTGGAAATAATTATATCTCGGACAAAGACAATGGAAATGTAAATATGTGGTTTTCATTGATGTGGTTTCATCAATTTTCATTGGAATCAATTTTCGTGTATTTTTTAAAACAGACGTTTTCGAAGATACGTAATTTCGTGGACAAAAACATTGCCTATTCAAATGAATATTATATTTCTTAATTCAATGAACATTTAATTTCGTGGATCTTCTCAACAACAAAGTCCTCGAACATTGATGCTTAACAAAATTAATATTGATGAAACCACAGAATTGTACTTCTTAGATGGCTATCATCATATTGACTGTATAAATACATGATTTTATTATGAAATATGGATAAAATGAATATGCAGAAATCTTCCTCAAAAGTCCATTGTAACAATATCAAGAGCTGAGCATGGACCTATTAAACACGACAGGGGTGGGATCAGGTGCCATGGAGGAGTAACCATCCCCAGTCAAGCAATCACGCCCGCTTTGTGCTCCTTGCCATGATCTAATATATGATTAAATGATTAAATGTTATGAAATCATTAACCAAGTTATATATTTCTTGTTTATAAAGCTAAAGTCAAGGCCAAACACAGAGAGAAAACATACTAAGTAACATGTTTTGAAAAGATTTTTTAAAGAAAAAATGACAACAAAACAAGAGGCCCACGGGCCTTATAGGTCACCTGAGTATCGTGCAACAACTTTCAAACAATTAAAATTGGTCCAAGTTTTAAACCAGAGGCCATGAAATTCACAATTCACAATTTTGAAAGAGGCCCAATGCTTATCATAATTATATACTGAGCGCATGCTTACTCTATTTACCTAATACCCAGATGTAGATCAGAGTAACAAAGAGAAAATGCACTTCCACTTTATAACCAGTTGTGCACCTCATTCCAAAGGAACCACTGACCCTGGGGCCACATATTTCAAAATTTTGCAAATTTTATCATAAAATGGTTGATTAATACTAAAGAGAAGATTTCAAAGCATTAATTTATTTTCAGACTATGACACCCCCACCACCCCGGACCATGCTCGACATAGCTATGTGTTTAGTTAGTTCATTTAATACCCAGAAGCAGAGAAGAAGATTTTCAAAGAATAAATGCATTTTCACTATATGATCAATAGAGCCCCACCCTAACACCAGAACCCCTGACCCTGGGGCCATAAAATTCACAATTTTGGTAGAGGCACTCTTGCTCAACCTAGCTATGTACTTAGTTAGCTTACTTAATACCCAGAAGCAGAGAAGAAGATTTTCAAAGAATAAATGCATTTTCACTATATGATCAATAGAGCCCCACCCTAACACCAGAACCCCTGACCCTGGGGCCATAAAATTCACAATTTTGGTAGAGGCACTCTTGCTCAACATAGCTATGTACTTAGTTAGTTTACTTAATACCCAAGAGCAGAGAAGAAGATTTTCAAAGAATAAATGCATTTTCACTATATGATCAATAGAACCCCGCCCTAACACCAGAACCCCTGACCCTGGGGCCATAAAAATTACAATTTTGGTAGAGGCTCTCTTGCTCAACATAACTATGTACTTAGTTAGTTAACTTAATACCCAAGAGCAGAGAAGAAGATTTTCAAAGAAATAATGCATTTTCACTATATAATTTATATAGCCCCGCCCTAGCACAAAAACCCCTGACCCTGGGGCCATGAATTTCACAATTTTGGTAGAGGACTCAATGCTCATTACATTCATGCCAACAGTTTGCCTGCTTGATGTCCAGGAGTAAAGAAGACTCAAGATTTTTAAAGATTGCAATAATTTTGGTGGTTTTGGCCCCACCCCTCAGGCCCCAGGGGGGCGGGGACCATAAAATTCACAATTTTCGTTTCCCTTTACTCATAAATGCTGTATACCAAATTTGGTTGAAATTGGTTCAGTGGTTTCAGAGAAAAAGCTGAAAATGTTCAAATGTTAACACACGACGGACGACGAACGACGGACGACGACGGACAAAAACAGATAGCAATAGGTCACCTGAGTTACTCAGGTGTCCTAATTATATTAAAAACAAGATGTGTTTGTGAAACAAAGTTCCAAAAAAGGTATTTATTGCATATAGGTCAAGGTCACAAGTTCATTGACCTTGGTGTCATTTGAAAGAACCAATTATGAAGTCTCTATCTCCTATGGTTCTTGAAAAAGTTATAGTGAAAGATCAAATAAGCTATTTTTAGCATAAAAATCACAGTCAAGATCACAAGGTCATTGACCTTGGTATCATTTAAAAGAGCTTAATTAGTAGAGTATGCATACAAAATATGAAGTCTCTATCTTTCCTGGTTCAAAAGTTACGGCGAAAGTGAAAGTTTGCAGAATAAAGCTATTTTTAGCATATAGGTCACAGTCGTCAAGGTCACAAGGTCATTGACTTTGGTGTCATTTGAAAGAGCTTCATATGTGGAGTATGCATACTAAATATGAAGTCTCTATCTTTCATGCCTCAAAAGTTATGGCGAAGGTTAAAGTTTGCAGACAAACAAGCAAACAAACAGACAGACAGACAGGACAAAAGCAATATACGCCCCGTATCTATCGATCCGGGCGCATAAAAATCTTATGCGACCCCATCCCCGCAAGCTCCAGAGTGTTTGTTACTTTTTTTAATATGTATTAATCAGCGGTCAACATACTTTTATCTCACCTGAACTGAAAGCTCAAGTGAAGTTTTCTGATAACCCTTTGTCTGTTGTTCGTCCGTTTGTAAACTTTTCACATTTTCAACGTCTTCTCAAGAACCACTTGCCTAATTTTAACCAAACTCAATACAACGCATCCCTGGGTTATGGGGAAAAAAACTTCTTAAAATGAAGGGCCAAACCCTCTTCCAAAGGGAGATAATCAAGAAAAGACAAAAAAAAGGGGGGGTCATTAAAAATCGCAGTTTTACCGAAACTTTCAGTAAATTAAAAAAAATACGCAATACCTATAATAATAACACACTTGAAAATAATCTTCCCAAGAACTACTGATCCAGGAATGCTGAAACTGATGTGGAAGCATCTGGGGTAGTGTAGATTCTAAACTGTTCAAATCATGACCCGAGGGGGTAAGACGGGGGCTACCAAAAGGTATTTAAAGTTTTACTTTAAAATATTTTGTAAAAATCTTCTACTTGAAAACCACTGGACATAAAAAGCTGAAACTTAAGTGGATTGATTGATTGTATATTGTTTAATGTCCCTCTCAAGAATTTTTCACTCATACGGAGCCGCCGCCACTTTCCGATGGAGAGCTGAAAATTTTGTCCTATACTCGGCACTTAGGGCCATTCAGCAGGGAGGGATCATTTTTGTGCTTGCACCTACTGTGACACGGGAACTCAGTTATCGAAGATCTCTGACTTTTACAGTCGACGGCTTACTTTTACACTTGGACAATGCACGGAAACTCTTTCCAAATAAAAAAATATTGAGCTCAGCATTTCATTGCACGAAAATAACTTGTTAAATAACATACATACACATTGTGAAATGATTGTCAAAGTCATATCTTCGTCAATCATTCAGCATTGAACAGTTAACATGTACATGTATATACAGAAATTAATTTGATATAAAGAGAAAATTCGAGACTTTTCCCCTCCCGCAACAAAACTTCCGATAAAAAGTGATTAGAGCGTCTGCTATAGAGTCCCGAAGTAAGGAGTTGATCCTTACGTCGCTGGTTCGAATCCCACTGTGGGACATGGAGACCGGTTCTTCAGGTGAGACCGTATAAACCGTGGTCCAGTTGTTGCAATAGGTGCTGGCGCGAAAAAATCCCTCCCTGCTCAATGGCCGTAAGTGCCGAGTATAGGACAAAACGTGCAGCTCTCCACAGGCAAGTGGTGGCATCTTCAAATGAGTGTAAAAATTCTCGAGAGGGACATTAAAAAACATTCAATCAATCCGATTAAAATCATTGACAATACACATCTGCAACCAAATTACCGGGCACTTACCTGACCGACAGAATTTGCCCAAGTCATGATTGCTAAATGGAAAACAATGTATATCAAAGGACAAGATAGGCCAAGACCCCTATTTGGCCCTGATTTTTTGAGAGGGGGTGTCTTTGATTTGAACATATTTTATTGACAACATGTCAAAGAGATTGGACACAACTTCCAAAATCTTGGATAGTCCTTTCCCGTACATACAATATTAAAAGCCGTACAATGGGGGGGGGGGGGTCTTTTAACGAGGCCGAGTCTAATTATTTCTACCCTAGAGTTTTCGTTAATTAAGTTTTGCTGTTATATTTATTGTTTTAAGATTTAAAAAATCGAATATTTACCACCCCGATTTCTTTGGTGGTCATCTCAAAAATTGACAAATTTTACTATTGGACCCTTTGGGAATTTGTTGGAAAAGCGCCAAATTATCACATTTTTCAGATATTTTTTTGTATTTCTACTCTAGAGATTTCTCCTTCAGTCAAGTTGATGAAAGTTATTGTAAAAAGTCACCAAATTGTGAAATTTCAAAAAAAGTTGACCATCTAGATTGGTCTAGGTCTTAATTCGAAGTTTATTTTTTCGATGCCCAATACCTCTAAAATTACCATGTTATATATACATATTGGTGCAGATGAATTATCGGCGCAGATAATTTTTTGGTAAAAAAAAAATAGCAATATTCAGATTGTTAATATGTTTCTTCTGATGTTCTGTCATCAGTTTTTATAGTAAAATATCCATGGACGACTACGAACATATAAGCTAGTCATATACCATTCTTCAGCATCATGCATTGTTTACAGAATCGTCGTTAGAGCCATTTCAGCGTGTTTTCAGTTTTTTCAATTATTGTTGTAAAATCACATTTTCAGACCAGTAGGCGTTTCAGTTAATGTTAATTTTATATCAAAATCACAATATTTTGGAAAGGTGTAGTCGCACTTTTGACTGTATGAAATTAAAAGGCTGCGCAAAAGTCATGCGCACTCGAACTAGACTCGGCCTCGTTAAAATGATACAACAGTTCACTCATAAAATCCTGTTGTCACCCCTACCACAAAATGAGTATTGGTTCTTAGTTTTGGAATAGGTCAGAGAGAGGTCAGAAAATAGGCCAATTTTCAAATTTTCTCATTTTTATGCAAATTTTCATCGATTTTACACCACATTTTGTTTCAGAAAACATAGAGCACAAGCTTGACTATTTACCAAATTTATACATTTTATACACATGAATCAGATGCAGTTAATGTGTAAAAAATCTCAGATAGGCAAGTTTTGGTTTTGGTTTTTACATCAAATAAGTGGCTAGATTCGGCCATTACCCTACCTTGTCCTGTGTTGATGTGTGCACGTTCTAGATTGTTTTCATGTATTAGATATGTATACAAAGCGAAGTTAGGCAAACAGCTAGAAAGAGTTCTTGTTAGACTTCTCTTAATAAGTTTACAAAAGTATGCTAAACCTGGAAATTAATTCTCAGTCTTATTTAACATGTCCCCCCCAAGAGCTGTCATTTGTCCCTCAATCTCTTCGACACTTCAGCAAGGGGATCGCGACGAAATTTTTAAAGTAAATAACATGATTTTAAAAATGGCTATTACAAATGCAATGAACTGTTTTATTATATGATTGAATAATTTTCTTCTCTCTGATTGGCTGAGAACCAACTATGTTAGAAAAATACTACGTTGTATTGACCTGCACGTGACATTCCAGGTCAATACAAGGAATTATTGCAGGTCAATATAAGAAATTATTGACCTGTACAATTTTTTCTGTTACAATGTGTTCTTGTTGAAATTTCTTGTTAAAAATTTCCATTAAAGCAAAGAAACAGTCTTGTAGGAGTTTGCTATCATTTAATCATATAATAAAACAGTTATTGCTGTTTTTTGCGGTCAATACGATGATTTAGCCACCTTCGAAGTACTATATTCACTTCGCCCTTCGGGCTCAGTGAATATTGTACTCCTCAGGTGTCTAAATCATCGTATTGACCTTAAAAACAGAATTATTGTATAATGTCTACTTAATAACATCGTCGCAAACCACGGCCAAAATGTACGATTCTCTCCTATCCTGGATAGGAGAGAGAGGTATATCTGGACTCCGAACCGTGGCATGAGACGATGACTTAATAAATATCTACTTCAAGAGTCAAACAATAGGACAAAAAAAAACCACTCCTGTTTGTGAGCTTAAAGCTGAACACGATTCGTAAAAGTAATGTGTCCGCCATTTTAGTTCTCGAGTATCGCTACCCTGCAGACCCCTATAAAAAGGGCAAGAATTAGAGACTTTTCAGTTTAATCAGTAGACACCGGTATAGACGGACGTATGCTACACAGGACTTGGTAGAGAGAATAATAACGTTACGGTAATACTTCGTCTAATGCAGGAAAGTAAGATACCAAATAAATTTACAATTATAATTATATTATCCAGTGCAGTATACAAACAACATAGATAAATGTAACTGCAATAAAATATAAACGAAGGAAATGCAAGATAATCAGCACGAACACGAGTCGCCATTCCACGCTGATACCTGTGACTATAAAGCAGTCAGGTGTAACGAATGCGACGAGTATACCCTAGTATTGATGTATCGTAGATAATGCTATCAAAATGGCGTTTGCCTATTTACGAGTCGTGTTCAGCTTTAACTATCACTGTGTTATACCTAAGCCAGCGACAGAGGTGAACGTGTTAATGAATGGTATCGAGTGCTACTTCAGTCCAGTGACTGTTTAGAAAATAATACATCCTTATGTTCACTTGGAAGGTCACATGCAGGTGAACATAACATAGTATATTTTTTCTGCAATGTTGGATATCAGTCAATCAGAGAGTTAGGAATTATTCCATCATGTTATAAGAACTGTCAATTCTTTCCTGCTGCACTTGCAATAATTTACATGTATGTACCTCCTTGTATGTTTTACCTCTCCTTACAACATTCACTAAATAACAGATTCCCCCGTAATCAAGAGAGGCCACCAGATAGAAAGCGACGACCTAGATGATACGGATGACGGATTACCCGAAACACTCAGTGGAGAGGAACTCGCTGACAAACGATATACCGGAAGTACAATACCATCACGCTCCTTCCGCATGTTGCAAATGTCAGTCGGAAATGACGACACATCTGAAACTGGTATCTCATTTCATCTAACAGTTCTCCAATGTCATTGTTCTTGACTCTGTCCATAGCGATAGTCATCTTTATATAATACTTAAATTTGGATGGTTGTTAAGTTACAAAAAAAAAAACAAAAAAAAAATAGGCAGTGTGATTAAAATTTTCAACTACCAAAATACACTTTGTTTGGATGCTTTTTATTTTCCGTTCATTTTCAATAGAAAATATCTCTGCTTCCATGTCATACTAACTTAAGAAGACGAAGGGCGAACAAGACGGACAAAGTGCCTTTAGGGCAACTAACATATGAATACGAAAAAAAACTAGCATGGTGGTTAGCACTGTAGCTCAAAGGGGCATGGTATTCAGGATTTTCGTTGCCAGGGTTCGAGCCCCACGGAAAACCCCATATGTATTTTAAAATAACAAAATTATTAATGCAGAGAAAATTTTCTTCAGACATAATTTCATTAATTTTACTCTTAATACTAAATTTACAAATTGAATATGATCTGAATCTATCGATAGTTTGCATGCATTATTCCCCCATATCCTTTTCTTTCTGTTGCACATCAATTCAGTCCACACAGTCACATAAAAAATAGTATGCAATTACTACATTTTACTAAGATACTTTACAATCAACTTCTTTGTTTTTAAATATAATAGGTTAATAAGATTGCTGCAGAAGATATACGTGTAAATTAAAAACAAGTGCATGCTGCTTAAACAAGTCACCTGTAGTTTGATATCGGGGTATTTACTCCATCTGCAAATTTTTAGATATATTAATTTAATCAATCTTAGCAAACATGAAATATTTCAAAATTGTCTACTTAAAATTTCCATACCGTCCTCTTTTTTAGCGCCCCAGAGAGCACCACCGTCTGTCAATCAAGAGCAAGGCCACACTCAATCGAAGATCACGATAATCACGCGAAGTCACGCGGTACCTGCCCAAATACAACCACCAGAGGACGTGCCCAGTACAGATTTCTAGGCTTATCCTGTAATTTAATCATTTCTTAGATATGTTTAACTATTGACAGTAATCACATCAATTGAAATTAGATTATCCATACCTCTTGAATCTTCTGTCAAATAGTTGTGTTTTTACTTGAATTAGATTAAAAAACAATTCTACCATATAGGCCTTTATGATTTTATAAAGAAACACACACACACACACCCTCACACACACCCTCACACACACATATTAATATATATACATGTTTATATGACTACATGTATTTATAAGATGAAACACGTCATATGAGTTGACTGTATAAATTTGAGTCATTAAAGAACTTTCTTGAACTAGCATGAACTACCGGCTATAAGAATTTAAGTGAGAATATTTTTTTATGCCCCCGTAAACGAAGTTTCGGGGGCATATAGTTTTTGTCCTGTCTGTCTGTCTGTCTCTCTGTCTGTCTCTCTGTTTGTCCGCAAAAACTTTAACCTTGCCCATAACTTTTGATTTAGTGGAGCTATGACTTTCATATTTCATATGTGTATTCCTTGTGACAAGACCTTTCTTTGGGTACCACCAAATTTGACCTTTTGACCTTGACCTTGGAGTTTGACCCACTTTTACATGAAAATTTTAAAATTTTACTTTGGCGATATCTTTTGAACAGTAGACACCAGGACATTTATACTTCACATATATAATGTTTGTTAAAAGACCTTTCCCTTTCACTGGATAACAACAACTTTGACCCTTTGACCTTGACCTTGTAGATTTCCTTACTTGTGAAAAAAAAACTTTAACCTTGGCCATAACTTTTGAACGGTAAGGGATAGGGCTTTCATACTTCATACACGTAATCCTTGTGAGAAGACCCTTCATTGGATACCAAGAACTTTGACCCTTTGACCTTGACCTTTGAGATTGACCTACTTTAAAAAAGCAAACCTTGACCATAACTTTTAAAGAGTTAGGGCTAGTGCTTTCATACTTTACATATTTGATCCTTATGACAAGACCTTTCATTTGATAACAATAACTTTGACCCTTTGACCTTGACCTTGGAGTTTGACCTATTTTTTTAAGAAATTGAACGTTGACCATACCTTCTGAACGGTTAGGGCTAGGGCTTTCATGCCCTACAAAAGTATTTTATGTGGCAAGACCTTTCATTTGATACTAATTACATTGACCTTTTGACCTTGACCTTGGAGATTTTTGTAATTATTAAAAAACTTTAACATTAGCTTACTTTCAAATTTCACAATTGTTTTCCAGTGAGAATACCCTACTTTTGGTACCAATTAATTAAATTTGCATTTAAGAAAAGCCTAATCTTTGCTTTGTTGCCATACGGGGGCATCAGTGTTTTACAAACACATCTTGTTTTATATGTGAATAGTTATTATGTAAAAGTTTTTTGTATTTAATCAGTTCATATATATTTATTGTATTGTAGATGTAGACATTAAAGTATTTATGTAGCTTTTGAAGAGTTGTGGTGTATGCATTACAGATATTCAGTCGTGCATGTGTAATTTGTATATACAGCAAAATGTACAGTATATTATATGTGAACAATTTTCTTGCCATTATCTGTAAAAATTGTTTGTACATTATTTGTACCAATGCCTAAACTTGGGATGTCAAAGACTATTCGAGTACTCGACTATTGCTTGGTCATACTGATTATCGTCGAATATTATTTACTCTATTACAAGTTATAAATGTGCTATTTAATATTATTTTTAAGTACATATTTTGCTTTTTTCTTATTTTCAACAAATCGCGTTTTGAAAATAAAAATAAAATTGATTTTATTGTTTACCAGTTGGTGGCAGCCACTGTAACATATATAGAAATAACAAGCCATGGTATTTGATTGAATTTGCGATAAAACAAAAATAAATTAAGATACTGAAGCTCACAATTTTTTTTGTAAATACTTGTATTAAAAATTTTGTTGAATTTTATTAAGATTTTATTAAAGATTTGAGGTCAGACGATACGTTCTGCAGATATATGTTTTGTAAATTTTTGAAATTTATTAAAATATTCAAAATTTTAATTAAATTCTAATTTTTAAACCAGTTTCTAAATGCTATCAAAAATACAACTCTTAAAAATGGATCTTAAAGAAGTTTAAAGTTTTCCTCAAAAGGATTATTTAATGAACACTACCCTCTGCTATCTTGCACAAATGCCTGGTAAGGTACCTGAATTTTTTGTGGGTAAACATATAACAGTAGGAATACTTCAGTGACAAAATCTTGGGAAAAATTATATATTATCAAGGAACGTCTCATCTGCCCTTAATATTTGCATTTACAAACATTCTGAAAAAAAAACCTTTAAATCGAATTAAAAATGAATAATAATAACAACTATTTTTTGAGTCGGTTTTCCGAGGGAAATTGACATCCCTAGTCTTAAAAAAAATCTTCCTAACTTCAGACGTCTTTCTAGTAAATTTTGATTTTGACAAAGATGCAAACTAGTTTCACATCATAGAAATAACGGATATTATCATTGTGTTATTGGTATTAGGTTACATGATACAGTTTTTCCAAGGCACAGTGTTATATATATAGTAAAATGATCTTTACTTTACACATGTATGTGGAATGTTTACAGGAGAACTCAGCAATAGAAATAAAATTGGGAAAATTATGTCCAAGCTGTTTTTCTTCATTTTACAGTTTTCTGAGCTGTTTTTTCTATAGCATCTTGTTTGAGGGGACCAGCCCATATTTGTCACCAGGACATTAAGGTGGGAATGTTCTTTTTACGTGAAAAATAATGTTATAAAATTGTCATTTCATAAGCCTGAAATCCAACCCCAGATCATAGATTCTTCCTTTTTTCAACAATATAGACCTGACCTGACCTGTAAAATACTTTCAAACTGCTACTTCTCACACAGTTTTGGTCTGATTTTAATATAATTTGGCATGCAAGTAGACTACACTGAGATACATAAATGTCTTTATTGTTTTTAACTCTACTGGTCAGAGACCAGAAGAGCTTATGCGATAATATTGCGTCCGGCGTCCATCCGTTTGCTGTCCGTCTGTACACATTTTTTTTTTATAAAATGCTACTCCTCCTACATTTTTTGTTTGATTTCAATATAACTTGGCACACAAGTAGACTTTTGCCTGAATTTTTGATTTCGATGAATGGTGTTGCTGTGGTTGCTAAAAATAGAAAATTCTGTGAAATACTTTCAAAATGCTACTCCTCTTACATATTAAGTCAGATTTCAATATCACTAGAGAAGTAGAGAACACTAAGATATACCATTCTGTGCATGGGTTTTTGATTTCGATGAACAATGTTGCCGTAGTTACTAAAAATAGAAAATTCTGAAATACATTCAAAATGCTACTCCTCCTACAGTTTTTGTCTGATTTCAATATACCTTGGCACACAAGTACACTACACTGAAATACATAATTCGATCGGTTTTTGATTTTGATGAACGGTGTTGCAATGGTTACTAAAAATAGAAATTTCTGTGAAATACTTTCTAAATGCTACTCCTCCTACAGTTTTAGTCTGATTTCAGTATCACTTGGCACACAAATAGACGACACTAAGATACATTATTCTATATATCGGTTTTTGATTTCGATCAACATTGTTGCTGTGGTTACTAAAAATAGATTTTTTGTAAAATTCTCTCAAAATGCTACTCCAAACACCGTTTTAGTCTGATTTTAATCTTATGTGGCATGCAAGTACACTACACTGAGAAACAAAATTGTCTTAATTGTTTTTTTTTTTTAATTTATTTTGATGAATGGTAATGCCATGGTAACTACTTTCTGAACTACAAAAAATGTATTCTAGTTTATTACAATTTCAAAGGTGACGGCCGTGATTATTCACAAATAGCTGATCCTTGCCAATTTTTAATTTCTCCAAAACACTTGGTCTGATTTCAATTATTTTTCGTAAACGTCACTTCCGAGATAATGTGAATAGTACTGCGCAGCCGCCAAGTCATTGAACTGCAAGTAGCCGGAGCGAGTAGACGTGGTCTCACTTGCTCGATCAATTTTGATAAAGGGTGTTAAGAAAGTTCGTTCCACATTTTTCTTATATTTTCAAAAAGAAATACGATGAGAAGATATTTACAATTTGTGATATTTCACGTTTACAGAGTCCATTCTTGCTCCTGATAAGGTTTTAACGGTCTTTTATTGAATCAATAAGGGGAGGGCAGGTATTAAAACAGATGATGTCTGTTCAGAAAAAATACGGATGATGTATATTTGTGACATATATTATTGAGCACACATGTCAAAACATCCTTTCAAATACTATGCAAAAATTATAAAATCTGTGAAATATTTCAAAATGACAAACCTATTCTTTTCAAAAGTGATATATTGTACTTATACCTACGCTCATCAGCTTGTCTAATGTAAGATAAGCTATGAAGTAACAAAAGTAAATAATCCTTTATTCTCACTCAAAATGACCGGCATTTTATCATTCGGGTGCTTTAAAGATGTTATATATTTTTTTCACATGGAAGAAAAATCCTATAATTTCCTGCTAGAAATGATTTGCTATAAATCTGAAGCACACTCTTGTGATTTTGTCAGACTTGAAAATTCATCTCTTAAGTTACGAACTACTTTGAATTTTTTGAAAATATTTCATTCCGGAACGAACTTTCTTAACACCCCTTATATTTTTACATATTGACGAGGTCAATATCTTCTTAGAACTTTTTCAGAGTTCAATTTTGTTTCTGACGTGGTCAGATCAGTATTCGGGGGCGATTTCGTCTGACGTGGTCAGATATTTTTTCATCGGTTTTGAAAGTTCAAACCACGTGCGTCATGGCGGACGCTCCTAACCATGCTAACCCTGACGATGATAAAGCACCGGTCAAGGGAAAGAAAAAAGCCCCGAACAAATCATCGTCTTCGGAGAAGACACCGTCTAACTTACGTTCGTCGTCGAGTTCGTCGACTTCGACTGGCACTTCCACGTGTTCTCGTGGTCATGGCGGAGGACATGATAGTTCCGCGCCAAATAACGAGAATGAGATTCTCAACATATTAAAAGCGATTCAAGAGAATCAAAAGAAACAAGACGATCGTATGACAGAGCTAGAAAATCTGTATGATTATGATTACCAAGAATATGAAGATCGTCAGGACGATACCCCGGACGAACCGGGTACTTCCGGTGAAGCGGCTTCGAGGAAGCGCGCATTAGACGAGATTCTGAATGATACGGACAACAAGTACGTAAATGCCGGTAAGAAACTTAAAGTTAAAGAGACTTGTGATAAACCTATTGATGATGAAATAGCTAATCTCGTGACAGATTGGTTCCGAGAGGGAATCGAGGAAGAACGATATAATGAGCTTCTAAAAACGACAAATCGTCCTGAAAACTGTTCAGCATTAGTGACTGTGAAAACTAACCAAATGGTTTGGGATTTTTTGAGCCCAACTACAAAATCTTCCGATAAGAAGATGCAAAATGTTCAGACTTCGTTGATCAAGGGTGCTTGTGCACTCACTAAACTGACTCATTTGCTCGGCAAGTGTGACAATCCTGAGATTTTAGACCTTTTGGGAAATGCTATGGAATCATTGGCATTGCTGGGGCATGCCAACAGACAGTTGTGTATGTTGCGTAGAGAATTTATGAAACCTGATATGAAGGGTGAATATACTCACCTTTGTAGTCATAATTTAAAGTGTACAGACTATTTGTTTGGCGACGATGTCCCTAAAACTGTAAAAGACATCACAGATTGTTCCAAAATCAGCAACAAAATTGGTATCGGATATAGAGGGAGCTTCCGTGGTCGCTTTATGAGGGGACGATCACGTGGACGCTTTGTCCGAGGAGCTGCAAGGGGTCGTGGATCCTACTCGAATGCTGCATCCTTCTCATCTGATTCAAAAAACTACCAGCGAAGAGGCTTGCAGAGTCGCCTCCAGAAGTAGTTGAAAAGGTATGTGAATTTAGAGCAGGTGTACTGAAAAATTTCATTTCTGAATGGAAAGATTTAACATCAGATAAAAGTATATTAGATATTGTGAAAGGTTGTCACTTGGAATTTAAAGATGATAAAATTCCTGTACAAAATTCAAAACCTTTTGAGCCACGTTTTAGTTCAGCTGAATCATGTGTGATTGACAAAGAAATTAAATCTTTATTAGATATGAATGTAATCTGAAGAATTGTCTGAAAATGTAGACCTTAGTGATGGTTTCATTTCCACTGTTTTCACTAGACCTAAAAAGAATGGTAGTTATAGAGTCATTTTGAACCTGAAAGAATTTAACAAAAACATTGTGTATCACCATTTTAAAATGGATACTTTTGAGAGTGCTCTTGATTTAGTGACTCAAGGTTGTTATTTTGCTAGTGTTGACTTTAGCAATGCATACTATAGTGTCAGTGTGGCAGAGGAACATAGAAAGTTTCTTAGATTCATATGGAAAAATAAGATTTATCAGTATACTTGTCTCGCTCAAGGGTTAGCTAGTGCACCTAGACTCTTTACAAAACTACTGAAGCCTGTTTTTGCAACACTTAGAAGACTAGGACATGTCATTATTGGGTATATTGATGACTCGTTACTGATTGGCAATTGTATTAAAGAGTGTTTAGATCATGTTTCTGAAACTTTAGCCCTAGTAGAGAGTCTAGGGTTTGTAGTCAATTATGAGAAGTCTGTTCTCACACCTGGTACAAAAATCATTTTCTTAGGAAATGTTATTGATTCTGAATTGATGATAGTTTATCTTACTGAAGAAAGAAAGGAATCTATTTTAGAGGCATGTAAAAAATTACAAACAAAATCAAGAGAAAAAATTAGAGAAGTTGCAAAGGTCATTGGACTGGTCGTGGCTAGTTTTTCAGCAGTAGAATTTGGTCAGCTGTTTTATCGTGATATGGAAAGAGCAAAAACTGATGCACTTGTACAATCACAACATGACTATGATGCTTTCATGTTTATAACAAAAGAAATGAAATTAGAATTAGATTGGTGGATTTCTAATATTTCTTCATCAGTTAGAAGAATTTTGCATGAACCCTATGATCTTACAATAACTTCTGATGCTTCTCATCTTGGATGGGGTGCTGTTATGAATGAATTGAAATCAGGGGGTAGATGGACAACAGATGAATCTGAAAATCATATCAATTACTTAGAATTATTAGCCTGCTTTTTTGGGTTAAAGTGCTTTTGTTCTGATGTAACAAATAAAAATGTCAAATTATTTATGGACAATACCACAGCTATTTCCTACATCAATAACATGGGTGGTATTAGTTCTAAAAAATGTGATAAACTTGCAAAAGAAATTTGGCTATGGAGTATGAATAGGGATCTGTGGTTAAGTGCATGGCACATACCTGGCAAAGATAATTTGATAGCAGATATGATGTCGCGAAAATTTAAAGATGAAATAGAATGGATGTTGAGCAAATCTGTGTTCCATAAAATTGTTTTAAGATGGGGACAACTTGAAATTGATTTGTTTGCTACAAGGTTGAATAAGCAAATTGATGTATATTGTTCTTGGCATCCAGATCCAGATGCCCGTTATGTTAATGCATTTAGTTTTTCTTGGGCAAACATTTATGGTTATCTTAACCCTCCTTTCAGCCTCAGTGGACGTGTGGTG